CTTGCTGTGTGCGCCGGGTGGTCCCGCTCGGCTGGATGTGTTCGCTGAGTGGTAAGTTTTCGTGGGTTTCCCGGCTAGCTGTGTGCGCCGGGTGGTCCCGCTCGGCTGGATGTGTTCGCCGAGTAGTTAGATCGCGTGAGTACCCAGGCTGGCTGTGTGCGCCGGGTGGTCCCGCTCGGCTGGATGTGTTCGCCGAGTGGTTAGATTTCGTGGGTTTCCCGGCTTGCTGTGTGCGCCGGGTGGTCCCGCTCGGCTGGATGTGTTCGCTGAGTGGTTATTTCTCGTGGGTCTCCCGGCTAGCTGTGTGCGCCGGGTGATCCCGCTCGGCTGGATGTGTTCGCCGAGTAGTTAGATCTCGTGAGTACCCAGGCTGGCTGTGTGCGCCGGGTGGTCCCGCTCGGCTGGATGTGTTCGCTGAGTGGTTAGATTTCGTGGGTTTCCCGGCTTGCTGTGTGCGCCGGGTGGTCCCGCTCGGCTGGATGTGTTCGCTGAGTGGTAAGTATTCGTGGGTTTCCCGGCTAGCTGTGTGCGCCGGGTGGTCCCGCTCGGCTGGCTGTGGGCGCCGAGTAGATAGATCTCGTGGGTATCCCGGCCGGTTGTGTGCGCCGGCCGGGTGGTCCTGCCCGGCTGGATGTGTTCGCCGAGTGGTTAGATCTCGTGGGTCTCCCGGCTAGCTGTGTGCGCCGGGTGGTCCCGCTCGGCTGGATGTGTTAGCCGAGTGGTTAGTTCTCGTGGGTACCTCGGCCGGCTGTGTGGTTCAGGTAGTCCCGCTCGGCTGGATGTGTTCGCCGAGTGGTTAGACCTCGTGGATCACCCGGCTAGCTGTGTGCGCCGGGTGAGGGAAGCACATCTGCTTTCGGCTGGTTGTGTGCGCCGGGGTAGATCGAGCTCGGCTGGCTATGTGTGCCGAATAGATAAAGCTAGCAAGTGTCACACTGTCGTGCGGCTATGGTATCCCGGCTGGTTGTGTGCGCCGGGTTGATCGAGCTCGGCTGGCTATGGGTGCCGAATAGAAAAAGCTAGTAAGTGTCACACTGTCGTACCGTGCGGCGATGGTATCCCGGCTGGTTGTGTGCGCCGGGGTAGATCGGATAGTCAGCGTCACGCTGATGTGAAGCCGGAAGCGTCATAGTTCATTAACTAAGTTCAATAAGTTTATCGTTAGTTCATCAAATGCATCATACTGCAAACCCTTCGACTCGGCTGATCGCAGGGAGCGCTGTGGCACCATTTTGAAGCCATTTTGAAGCGCACACACAATCTTATTGCGTGCCAAGTTATTGGTTGAAAAAAATGTAGTCTGACCTCATTTGACCCGACCTTAGTGGTTGAAGCATAGGTACAAATCACGCGTTGTTGTAACTGAGGTGGTGCAACATAGAAGAGCTGAATTGGAACATATATCTTTCATATGTATAATTTGCAACATTCTTGCGAAATTTCTTCGAATGCGTCAGGTCGCTGGATGACCTCAGGTCAACCGAATTTGGAAAGTGGAATGCATGTAACGGCACTCGAGGAATTTAGCGTGTCCTGGGAGTTTGAATCAAATCGATGAACAACTCTGGTTTTCATGGAAATGGTGTTTTCAGTGCCATTTTGACGATGTACCGTTTTGTGACCTGGTGACCTGACCTGAGGCCAGCGGAACTCAAACTCCCAGGGCAAATGGCAAATGAATGCCCCTGAGTTGAGTCTCAATTTGGTGGCGCTGCGTGCCACGGCACTCGCGCTATTAACGGAAACTCTGTTATGCCGTTGCCGCTAAAACAGTCCAATTTTACCCTGAGTCCGGTTTTGGGACCGGGTGAGCTGACATGGATGACGGAGACCTGAATTTTCAGGGAGGGTGCCGGGAGGTGGCCACGGAGGATATGCAAATTTGGCGGCGCCTTTTTTTTGCGCTATTCGCAAAAGAAAACCCTTGGGGATGTATCAACCCCTTCTCCGGTCGAGGTCTAAGCATGGCTGACTGTGTAAGACGAGTAATTCGACCAAGAAAGTGTCACGCTGCTGTGCAGAGACGTTTGCCGGCTGGCCGTGCGCTCTGGGCGTTTCGACCTGGGCTGGCAGATAGCGGGCTGTGAGCGCCAGGTAGTCGAACTTGGCTGGACATGTAAATCGGGTAGATCGAAATAGTCAGTGTCACGCTGCGGTGCAGTGATGGATTCCAGGCTGGGTGTGTGCGCAGAACAGACCGCCCCAGTCAGTGTCACGCCGCTGTGCAGAGATGTATTGTATGCCGGCTAGCCGGGTGCGCCGGGCGCCCCGAGTTCGGCTGGCTTTGAGCGCTGGGCGGATTGACATGGTGAGTGTCACGCTGACGTGCCGCGGTGGTCCCCGGCTGGCTGCGTCGACTGCGGTCTTCCCCAGGGCACGTATCAACAAGACGGTTCATGTTAGACCGTTTCCAACGCTAAGTCGGAATGTATAACTGCACAACTGCAGGTCGTCACTGTCCCGTCGCGGCGGCGGCCGCCGCTTGTGATCCTGATGGGTCAGGCTTTCGAATGAGCCTGATCCGTCCACCTATCATATCCCTCGCCCGTGTGCGGCGTTCTGTTGCGTCTAACGTGTGGGTAGGGGGCCGGTTGGACCCCCTCCCCCTGCCGTTCGGCTCCTGATTGGGCTGGATATTTGCGGAGGGAGAGAGCGTGCTGCCCGTAACGAGAGACACCGATGACGTCATCAGAGTCCGTTAATGGTTAAGAGATAGGGACTAAGCTAGTCCCACTCTGCACCTGAAGGGAAAAAATTTCTTCAACACCGAAGATGCGGGGGTTGCGACCATGATAGATGGTGGTTTCTTAACCCTAGAACGCCTAGGGGGGGGGGGGGTTGTATCAACCCCCCCCCCCCCTGAGGTTTTTTCGAAGTGCACGCTAAACGGCTTGTCGTAGCGGGCTTTGGCGTCTTGTTATCGATCGTGATATGAACGATAACACGATTTGGGTGCAGACGGCCATTAACAGCCAATACTGGACAACAGATTTGGGGAGCGAACGGTATGAGACACTCAAATCAGTAATAGGGTCCACCTATTAGCTTGATTTGGGGCTCGAATAGAGTGAGCGGAGGATGGCCAGCACGAGGAGGGAGGGAGGGGCAGAGGGGTGGGAGGAGACCCGAGTCGTGGCGCGCGGTTTGACGGCCCGGGTCCAGGGACGGGGAGGGGACCGGGCCGCGGCCGAGGCGAGATAAGGCACACACAGTACACACGGGGAGGGAGGGATCTGCCGCAAAACAGGTCAGGCAGTCGAAGACGCGAGCTCAGAGGCGGCGGACAGTGCAGAAGGGTGGGAACCAAGCGACAGGCTGTGGAAAATGGTCCCCTCCCACCCTCCCCAATAGGAACTTCCAATCTGTACATATATGCCGTCCTATAGACACACTCGTCGTCGGCCCACGTCTTGTTATCGATCGTGATATGAACGATAACACGATTTGGGTGCAGACGGCCATTAACAGCCAATACTGGACAACAGATTTGGGGAGCGAACGGTATGAGACACTCAAATCAGTAATAGGGTCCACCTATCATGTGTTTACCATGCGCCGAGGTCGGCATTCGGCGGCGCTAACTGGCGGTCTGGGTGGTCCGTATCTGATGCAGACCTTGTTTGTGGGACGTTGGCAGTCAACAGGGTGATTGTTGACGGCATGCAACCGCGCTGGACGGCCTTGACGGATGTGCACGGGGTACAACAGGTAAACAATGGACTGCGGTCTCAGAATCGGACATGAACGCCCCGAAATCGAGTCAGACTCGTCTACATCGAGCAAGTGGTGGAATTTGGAGCCCGTGGGAACTGGTCTATCACGTCCATTCCAGTTCTGAGAGGCCATCATTGAGAGTCGAGGAGTTCAGCGCGCCGAGAGCCGCGGGATGAGCGGTGGGGCGCCCCACTAGCTTCACTGCACCCTAGGGGTTCATACAGTCCGTCATATTTCTCTGTAATCGTTTCCGAGCCTCCTTCAATGTCGCTGTTTATGTCACCTCGGCGGCGCTGAGTTTTATTCCGCGACCGCTTCCGTTGCAGGGCGATTGTCCAAATCGGCTCGGTTGTGTCTCATCTAGGACAGATTACATATCCGGCGGCTAACGGTATTGGCCGTCTATTAGACACAACTGGCTTTCTCGCGCCGGCGGCGGCGCCGCGTAGCTCATCAAAATGAGAGATACTGGCCATCATTTCTCATGACAGCTCTGGAAATAGAGCCCGCCCGGCTGCCGGCTATGGGAGTCGCACCGACCGCGGCAGGCGTCAGCGACTTGGGCCGGCCAGTGGGCCCCGGGGCCCCGTAACCGAGCGGTCAGTCAGAGGGCCCCGGGGCCCCGTCGGCCGGTGACGGACCGACGGACATCAGATACCGAGGGAGGCGGGCTCTCGTGGAACGCAGACCGAGAGAGCTTGTTACAGAGGTGTCACTGAAGGGAGCTGGACGGGCTGACCTTTGCCGATTCCGGCGAGGATAATCGTCCGCTGTGACTGAGTTCTGACTAGCGGTGTAGGATGAAGTGGTGGGATGGTATGCCTTACGACAGGTCCCACCGGGCGTAGCTGTCATATTTTTGGGCTTTATGCGTCATTGGGGTCGTTGCCTTCACAGCAAAGACGTCATTCTGGTGGTTCGTATGATAGCTACCTTGACTTCGCCTTATCTATATTTGGCTGCTTTATGATCTGAACGCTCCTTTTTGGCCTCATTGACGTCTTTCATTGCTGTTTGGTAGATATTTTTGTTGCACAATGACTGTGATTCAACCCTGTGAGCCGTGCCTAATGTTTCTGTGTGCCTCTGCTGATAGTGCTTGCTCTGTCAAGGAATTTGTAACATGTGACCCGTCAGTATGTCGTAATCGATCTACCCTCCGACAGTACCTGCCGCATCTGGCCATGGCATGACTTAAGCCCGACCCTGTGATCTGACCTGACCTGACCTGACCTAACCTGATCTAACCTGACCTGACCTGACCTGACCTCTCTCCCTGCCCACAGTGTCTGCAGTGTCGAGCGGCGACGGCGACCGCAAGCTCTGGAGCGAGGAGAACATGGAGTTAGCGCTGGAGGCGCTGCGCACTGCGCGGATGTCACTCTCCAAGGCCTCCTCGGTCTACGGGATCCCCTCGACCACGCTGTGGCAGCGCGCCCACAAGGCCGGCATCGGCACGCCCAAAAAGGAGGGCTCCAACAAGAACTGGACGGAGGAGGATCTGCAGCTGGCGCTCAACGACCTCCGGTGAGTGCTGGGCGCTAGCGGCGCCGGTCATGGGGACCTCGATCTAACCGTTAGCTACCTAAGGTGAGTGTTCTTCACGCGACGCCTAAGAGGTTTAGAAATCGTAATGTCATTGGTATAAGGTGAGTGTTCCCTGCGATTGGAGGGGAACTCAGTAATCAGAGAAGATTACCGAGTGTGCTGCAACGATCTTTGTTTGTTTGTGTGTTTTGTTTTGTTGGGTTAGGCCCTTTCGGTCGACAAGACCATTGCAGAGCCGGAAGGATTATAGGAATTAGGGGGAGACATTGGTCTGGGCAGGCACCCTAGTGAGTCGCCGGGGCTGAGCCCGTCCAGAGGACAGGCCACCCAGCCCCAAGGCACTCACTGCACCCGGCTACGGGGTGCGCTCCCTCAGGAGCAGCGGTGCCGCTCCAAGGGAGCAGCCCGCATGAGATAAAGTCGCCTGTCCAGCCCGGAGGGGGGTTGCGGCGTGGAGGAGAAGGATCTCAGTATCCTGAGGATAGAAGCATGGATAGGTGAGGCAACGATCTCTGGAAGCATGATGTCCTTTGCTGGCTGTGAGACTGAGACGGCGTTTTTGGAGCGTTTTGTGGTGGCGTAGTGGCGAGTGGCGACATCTATACTAGGCTCATTTTAGCTGCCCAGTAAGCCTTGGGTCTGGCTTTGCCAGAGGTTGACCATTTTTGCGACCTTGTAGAGCTAAACGAAAAGCTCTGGAACTGGCCTTGGCGGGGATGCAGCTGTACTGATAATCGGGCGTCTGATGGTTTTGCGGTGAGCGCGTACGAACAACAAATCGCTTTGCGTGTCTGCGGACATGGACCCTCATCCACCGTATCTCCGCAATGACATTTGTGGTCTCTCACTCAAAACTCGTGTTCCCAATACCGTGATCTGTCTGGGTCGCGGTGGGATCCGTCAGTCCTTTTCAATCGTTTTCTATCTCTGCTATAATCCCCGTCCCGCCGCGCCGTTCGTTTCTTTGTCTCTCGACTGCTCTTGTGTGGTCGGAGTGGCGGATTGACCTTGATTTTCCAGGGATTAGCTGTCTCATTTTGGTCCTGTTTCCCCTCTCTGATGTCACACCTGCCAGTCAGATATCTTAGGAATTAGGAATGTGTCACGTCTAATACCATTTAGCCGTCTGCGAACAGAGTTGACCGTTACTAGTTTTAGCTTGCTCGCAGGGTACAAATAGATGTCACGCCGGGTGAATTTTACAGCGTGCACTACAAACACGACAGAGTCTGGTAGCTAATCCGCTGTGTTTGTGGCGCTGGTCGCGGCCCGTTAGGAGCATTTTGTTCACGTCTGTGGACGGATTCCTGGCGGTTGGCGCAGTACGGAGAACCGAGTCTGTAATGCCTGACGGTGTCCGCTAAGTCTTTCAGGTGTGGAGAGCTCAAGAGAGCCGGAGTGGACCTAGGCTTTAGTGAAGGGGTGGCAATATTTGTGGGCTTTGTCCAGGTATACTGGCAAAGAAAACGCTTGATGACATTTCCCGCTTGCGTAATTACGAGCGAGCGAGCGCAGCGAGCGAAGTGAGTCTTTTCAATATAACGGGAAAATCTCAGTATGAGCGGCCCGGCCCGGCCCGGCCTGTAACGCTTTTGAGAGGCTTATATCTCAGCAACCGCTGGACCGATTGGCCTGCGGTCTTTTTTGTTGGGTAGCCCAATCTCTTCTACCCCGTAATTGACTACTTTTGATACATCTCAGTGATCGTCGTGGCACGTGCCACGTGAAAAGTCAAGGGTGTTCAAGCTGTTTTGCAAAAGTAGTGATTTTGAGAGGCTCATATCTCAGCAGCCGCTTGGGCGATTGACTTCCGGTAATTTTTGTAGGGTAGCAGCATTCCTTCTACCCAAATTAGGATACTCTCGAAGCATGTGGGTCACCCCCAGTGCACGTGCAAAATACAACAATAAGAGGTGCCAAATTTGTTCCCATTTCAGTAACTCGGTAATTACTGGGGCGATTTCGCTGAAACTTGGCATACAGGTAGGCACCCACCAGGCAATGCATTTCCATGTGTTGCGATTAGGGTGCTACTGCACGTGCGCACGTGCAGGGGGCGTTTCCAGATCTCGAGAACGGCTGGGCCGATTGCGCTCAAATTTGGTACACGGTTGGGGACCAGTTAGTATGGTGCCGTGCAAAAGTCATTTTGGACCCCGTTTGCACGTGCGCACGTGCAGAATGCCGCTTCCAGATCTCAGGAACGGCTGGGCCGATTGCGTTCAAATTTGGCACACCGCTAGCGACCGGTTAGAAGGGTGCTTTGCGCAAGCCCGTTGGAAGCACCCTTTCGCCCTTCCGCACGTGCAGGGCTCACTATCTCGCTCGCTCGTTCTTCGCCCAAAAGGCGTTTTACTGGTATTTATCGTATGCCGTAGTATTAGTATAGCTGACTATATAACGTGTTATCCCTCCGCGGTCTGACCGCCCCCGTCTGCCACTGTCCGCAGGGCGGGCCGCATCTCGGCCAACAAGGCGTCCAAGGAGTACGGCATCCCCAACTCGACGCTCTACAAGATCGCCAAGAAGGAGGGCATCAAGCTGTCGGCTCCGTTCAGCAACGCGCAGACCTCGTGGACGCCGGCCGACCTGGAGAAGGCCCTGGACGCCATCCGCGGCGGCATGTCGGTAATGAAGGCCGGCACCGAGTACGGCATCCCCTCGGGCACGCTGTACGGCCGCTGCCGGCGCGCCGGCATCGAGCGGAAGACGGCCGGCCAGCCGTGGAGCGAGGAGGACATGCACGATGCACTGGAAGTGGTACAGCGGGGCGAGATGAGCATCAACCAGGCGTCCATGTACTACAACCTGCCCTACAGCTCACTGTACGGCCGCATCAAGCGCGGAAACCTGGAGCAGGAGGAGGACTCGTCCTCGCAGCCGCCGCAGCAGGACGGCGGCCCGGCCGGCCAGCTGGGACTGCAGCCACCGGCCGGAGCCGCCGCCTCCATCGGCTACTAGCGCCCCGGCGCTGGGTGAGACCTCAGAGCGAGCTGCTATGGTGGCGAGCGCAGTACTCATGTGCTGAGGCACACACACGCACACACTGACACGCACACAGAAAACACGCACACCTACACACAGGCAGACAGGTAATCAATATGAACACACGCACAGACATACAGATAGCACTTCGAACACACAGAGACACATGTATTTGTTACATGAGACACAAAGACACACACCACACATCCACGAGTTCAAATCGACGGGTTTTTGCGGCAGAGCGGCTTATTGATCCAATGTTGGACTTCCTCTCTCGATACTGACTGGAGGGAGGTTAAAGGGTAACGAAGTCGATAAACCTCCTTGGGTTCGTCCTCACGAGTACAGCCAGGGCGTTCGCGTCTCGAGCGATCCACAGAGAGACGGAGTGTTGCCCTCACTGCCAGATGACCGAGCCGGGCTCCACGAATGGCAGCTGGCGCACACTGTGTTGGGGAGGGACGTTGTGGTTCTGTAGCGCAGTACGGATACCGGGGTCGGTGCTGTAGTGGGTAGAGTTTGGGAGAGACTGCGGCCGGCATATGATGTGGCCGCGTGATAGGGGGCGTGTGTAACACGGAGAAAGGGAGAGCGTCCTAAGGACGGTTAGTGATACATCGGGTGACGGGAGAGGCGGGTGTACAGAGTGTAGCACTGCGAGAGGCGCTGGTGGGGGACTGCACTGACACAGACACACACAGACACAGTGGACACACAGACAGACACAGTGAACACACAGACAGGCGCGCGCACACTCAGACTCGGACGTCCAGCCAGGTATTCGCCACTGAGGAACATTCACTGCCAGTTCAGTCACACCAGGACACGAAAACCACGCCGGGACGAAGTCGAGCCGTGCTGCCGCATCTAGCCTGGCTGGCGTTCCCTCGCCTCCATCACGCAACGAAGCCCACGGCGCCGCCGGCGACCCCCGGACGGCGCCCGAGGCCCAACTGTACAAAGGTGCGCCAGGCGCGGCCGTCGAGTCACACACACTGACAGAGCAGCCATCGTGGCACACAGACGCACGGGTACACACTGACACACGCAGATACACGTTCACACACTGGAAACGTTACGGGATTTACATAGTCACTTAACGCGGCGCCGGCGAGCGGGCGGGGATGGTGGAGGTTTGGAGTGTAGACCTGCCCCTGCTACCCTCGCCCGCTCGTCGGCGCCGCTACTGTTTTCACTTGGTTTTAGCTGAGCACGATGGTCGTTGGTTTTTAGTTACGGGAGAGCGACTGAGCGCGCACGAGAGAGCGGGTAGTTTTACGTTAGAGAGGACGTTTGTGACGTAGCTGCGCCGTCCCGACCGTGTAGGAGATGCAGTTGTCGCTGGGTAGCGGTTAGAGAGCGCTTTTGTTGTTGCTTTCGCTATTAACTGTGCTGGCGCGATGTCGTGGCCGGGTGCGGCAGGTGTGTGCAATGTCGCTTATCACCGTGTTGGCCGTATGTCGGGCCTCCCCAGACTCGCCGCCGCCGCCGCCGCTGCCGCTGTCCGGACGCCGAAGCTTTACTGTACTGCCGCACGGTCTCGGCAGTGGTGGCGGCGGCCGCGGCCGGTAGAGTAGGTGTGTGACGCGCCGTTTGGTGTCGACTGCCGCCGTCGGTTGGGCCCGGCGCCTGACGCCGGCCTCGCGAGCGCACGTGCACTGGGAAGCATCCGTCTAAGTCATACGGGTGGGGCGGCCAGCCGGTCCGCCGGCCGGGCCATTGGGCCGGAGCTAATTGAATACCTCTGTGTTGACCCGATAGGAATATTTTGCTATAATCAAAGTGGATGCTTATTTTGCTATGATATTCCATTGACTACGATAATTTGACCGTGGTAGGAGAGGTGACGAGTGTATTGCATGGTTGGCCGTGCGCGCGGCAGTGTTCGCTGTTCGGTGTGGCGTGTCGAGACGCGCTCTGTTTGTGCTAATACCTGTCGCTTCTCCCGGCTGCGCGGTGTGTCGCGTCGTCCGGATAGTTGCCGTCCGTGAGCGGGAGGCGCGCGCGCCGCCGCCGCCCCGCGCGCTGTCCAAAAGAAGCACGAATCAAAGTGGGTGTGGGGCGGGGCGGTCCGGCGTCATGTTGTTGGTAGTGAGGGGGCCCAGCCCGACCGGCCCAGCCGTCACTAGTCAACAACTAACTAGCACGCGCGCGCGCGCCGTCCAGAATCAGCGCTTTTTCGCTTCGGTGCTGGCAGACGAGAGTAGCTGTAGGGCCGCCGGGCCGTGCGCCGGTCGGCGGAGGGAGAGAGCGAGAGAGGGAGAGAGTGCGCGAGTGAGTCCGGTGCGAGAGTGGGTGATTACAAAAGTCCAGTACAAATATAGGCCTCTATTTTCCCGTCAGTTCGGGCGGCGACGGTCGCCGATTCATTTTTCCGGTAACCTGCTCGGTCTGTATATCTCAGTCCCGTTCGTTCAGGGCGGCTCCCGCCACGTTTGCTTCCGAGACTTGTTGTTTAACGGGTTGCGCTCGCGCGCTATCTGGGTTGGCTGTCCGGCGGCGGCGGCGCCTCGTGCGCTCGCCGCCGCCGGTCGCCGCTTTACGGGTCATTTGTTGGTGCGTGTCGGCGCGCAGGGGCCGCCGCCCGCCGCCGGCCGCCGGTGTTCCGTTGCGCGCGCGCGTGGCGCATTTGTTAGCGTTGCGTTGGGGCGCGGTTGCGTTGCGTTGCGTTGTGTGCGTGGGGGCGTGTCCGTGTGGGTGGACGGTGCGTGTGAGGTGCGAGCGCCACTGGGCGGCGGGTGGACGGGGCCGCACAGGCCGCCGCGCCGCCGGCCGGCTCGCAACCACAGCCGGCCGGCCTCGCTGTCCAGTGCAATAAGTAGCCGAGGCGCTGGCGCACGCGTGTCGGCGCCGAGTCTGTCCCCGACGCCGGCCGCGCCCGAGCGTGTACGTAACTCAGTGTTGCTACAAATTTCCACGCACTTTGTATGTCTTGGTTATGTTTGCAATAAAGGCAAAAAACGCTAATCAAATAAACGGCTGTTTGTGATAGCACGGCGTTTTGTCCTCGGACTGAGCGGCAGGGGGACTGGGAACCTGGGAGAGGGGTCGCGAGAGACCACGACCTTGGTGCAGGGATGGGCGGTCGGAGGCCATCCATGACACGCATCGTAGGTCAAAGGTCAAGGCCACATATGACCGGAAGGGGGACTAGGGGTAGGACGGAAGCCGCCTGGAGGCTGGGGCAGTTTCCCGACCCCGGCCTGGGCTGGGCCTGGAACGATGTGTGAATTATGTTTTTGATCCTCTGCGGAGTGGCTTACAGTAAGGTGAGGGCCACATTTAATTTTGTAGCAATACGTAGGACCGTAGGTACCGAATGTGGGTAATGTGTGTCACTACTACATCCCTGCATGTAGTTAGTTCCCAAGTCTTCACTGTGTATGGTGTCCAGTGTTGAGGTGGTGGGTTGTCGCTGTCCTTTGCATCATATAAAACTGATTCCACAAACGGTATTACAGACAATCCACCAAACTACCTTCTCTGACCACTGCCCTGCATACACAACAGCCCCACCTCATCAAAAACAAATACGACCGATCGGCAGAGTCTCTTATTGAAACAGTGCACATTCGCCAGGTTACGCAAGAACATAACACCACACGCGAGACGCGAGACAACCAAGTGCAACAAACGGTCACTGCTCCCTCCTCACGAGCGGCGCCGACCGTCTTCCTTTGGTCCTCCGGCCGGCAGGCATGGAACGCGCGCCCGCGCGCCGGCAGGGCGGGTCCAGAGGGCGAGAAAAATGGCGGGAGTTTGAGGTACAGAACAGGGGTTGAAGTGGCGGAGGGAACGCAAGAGATGAGTGATTTGAATGGAGGAGAGCAAGTCTGGGAGATGTAATCCATGACGTGAATGATGATTCAGAGTATTGTCAAGGCTAGGAGCCCACTAGGAGGCTCGGCGTTTTGAAGTGGGAGGCGAGTTTCACGCCTGGTTTTACTGAACCCCACAGCAGTCCGAGGCAGGAAGGATAACAGCAGCGTTCCGCCGGGGGACAGTCGGAGGTAGAATCGACCCTGCGGCTGCAGGAGGTCCGGTGCCGCGACCCGGACCGGCGGGTTGTCCCCCGGGGGCGGGCGGAGGGGAAACAGGGGGCCACAGGAGCGGCAGACAGCGGCCCCGCCGGCCGGCCGCCGCCCTGTAGGAACGTACGTTTCTGATTGCTTTCAACACTATCATTGCCGACAGGGCGGGCTCAGTGGAGCCGTAAGAAGCCTTCACTCCCACTCTCACACGCTCACCGCGCTCCTCACACCCTCTGTCTTTGTAGCCGGCCGTCTGTAGGTGGCGCCACCGAAGCCAGCGTTCGGGGGCCTCTCACTCTCACTCTCTCAGCTGAGCGCCCTCTACCGGGTCCCTCTCCGTTCCTCCCGGCGGCAGCGGCTATTAGCTCGGGCTGTCCGTCTGGTTCGCGACCGCAGCGTCCTCACACAATCCGTACTCGACCGGCGTCACCGCCGCGAGCGTTCACTCCGTGCACCTCGACACGCGCGAAACCTATATACAACTCCACCGCAGGAGATAACAACGCTCACACACAGACGCGCACACATACACGGATATTCCTTCCTTCCGGCCGGCGGCGCACCACCAACACTCAGCACTCGCGGTATGTAAACTCTGCCAAATACTGAACAACGCACCGCTCCAGCATTGAGCTGTGGGGCCGGCCGGTCGGCTGGAGCCTCTGTGGGGTCTTACGCCCTGCAGCGGCGGCCCGGCCCCCCGTGGTTCGGCGGTGACGGCCTCTCCAGTAGCCATCAAAGCTCGCAGATCCACCTGCCGGTCTCCGATCTCACGATGGCCTCTTGCACACCTCACTCACTCTCTATTTACAGGCGTAAGCGTGCATATCCGTCGCGCCGTGCCGGCCACCGGCGCTCCTAGCGCAGCCTAGCGTCCAAACTATAAAACGCAACTCGACTAGCCGGCCGGTAGGTGGCGGCAGCGCCCTACCGCTAGCGTTTGTACGTGGTGGAGACGGGATGCGGCAGCTCGAGTGGCTAGTTGCCGGAGCCGGCCGGGGGCGTGTGTGATGTGAGGGGCGCCGCCTGGCCGCCCTGGCCGCCGCCGGCCAGAGGCCAGCTGCTGAACCCGTTTCTGCAAACACACGCGGAACGACCGGCGTCAGTCGTGGCAGGCGCGCGCCATATTGGACGACAAACGCAGTTCTCCTAATGCTTGGTGGCTCTCTCAATTATTGTCACCTAAGTTTCGATGCTAATACATCAAGAAGACAATCAACAAAGAAAGTCAGCGCTCTCGCAAATCTAGAGGTAGATAAAGGACGAACTCGCAACCATATCAGATCCCCACAAAAGATGTAAATCACAAACTACAAAATCTACTCGACCGACACACTCGAGCCCACACTCTCCAGTCCCTATTCCTGCTTGCCCTCTCGCACTGACCTACAACCGTTGGCCATGCCGCCTGGCGCGCCGTACGGGTCCTCCCACTCGGGGTTGCTCGCCGGGTTACTGGTGGCCGGGCTGGCGCTGGCCGGGGCCGGCGAGCCGTGAGACGCAGCCGGGCTGCCCTGCGGCCCCGCGTCACCGCCGGCCGGCTGGCGCAGCTGCTGGTGCGGCGACAGCTGCTGCTGGTGCTGCATCATCAGGTGGTGCTGGTGCAGCGGGTGGTGCGGTGAGCTGAGCGCCGGTGGTGAAGCCAGCGGCGGCGGCGGCGACGAGAGCACAGAGGCCAGGGAGCCGGGCGGCGACCGGGAGACGGCCGGCGGCTGCTGCGGGCTGCCCAGGTGGTGCTCGGCCATCTGAGGACACAGAGACAGACCGGTTAGGAAACGAAGACGGACCGGTCAGGACACACTGAGCACGGATCAGTTAGTGCTGACATCTAGCGGCCGAAGGACGGAATCTTAGACAGGCTGTCCAAGCACGCTGACATCTACCGGCTACCGCCCTATGGCAGGTGGCTATGGCAGGTGGCTATCAGCGCAAGTGGATTGTACAGACAAGAGCAAATCTGTCCTCTCACAGGATAAAAGGCCATGCAGTGAGTTACAGTAGCACGGCATTTGGTGTTTCGGCGAGTCTCTCTGATCTCTTGCAACTTACGACGAAAAACATCCATGCTATTGCGCGTTACTGAAATTCCTCCAAACGCGTATTTACAAATTGCAACCGAGCTCCGCCGTAGGGTATTTTATTTCCGCCGTAGTGTATTTCAGTTGGGGTATTTTCTACCATACATCTGCCTGAGCTTGGGGTAATTACAACTTGTCGGCGACGTTAAAAAATGATGCACCTTTTTTCGCAGTATAGGTTATCGCATGTGCATATTTTTGCCTTTTTGGTTACGCTTTTCCCTCGCCCGTATAGAGGGAGGCGTTGAGCGGACCCCATCGGTTTTCCGTGAGTAACTCGCGTAAAAACCGTCCGATCGCGACCAAACTTTCAATACCCACGATTTTATCAATTTTACTCCTAAGTCCTACCCTGAAAATTTCATGACCCTGACCCAAATGACCTTTGACCTGTGACCTATTTCTCGAGACCATGTTTGGCTCGAATCGCGATTCGGCGTATGTCGGCTCGCATTAGCCGCGCGTTTGCAGTCTTTACGTGGTTTCAAGCGTTGCAACATGTGATATGATGCTGGTCCCATGCATTGGGGGGGGGGGGTGTCACATGAAGGTCAGGTCAGCTCAATGACCTTTGGTGACCTCGGTTCACTTTTTCGAGTTTAACATGTTTCTAGGCTAGTTTTTGGAGCTGATTTCGAATTTAGCAACCATTTGAACAACATAGGGTAGGGGGTGTAACGAAATTATCCGGATATCTTTCTTCCCGCTGTAATTAAAAAGCAAAACATTCTGGTACTTTTTATTTTGACTGAGCATGTAGCCATGTCATAAAAACACAGTGGCGAATGTTTTGGAGCATCTCAGCCAATGGATTCTCCAGCACACTGGCTTTGATGCGGACCAACGCCGTCTAAACCTGTGCCTGCGGTTGGGCGGTGCTTGTGGCGGGCGTCTCTTCAGTCACCTGCTGAACAAGAGCCCACAGGTTTTCGATTGAATTGGGATCGCGACTTTTTCCAAGTCATAAGCGTTAGCCCAGAATGATTGAAGGTTCTATCGGTATCACTTCCCGTTCTTTTAGGGACTTTAAAGTAGCGCGCCGCCCCGCATGAAGACAGCGTGGCTTGAATCAGGCATCAGTGAGACGTGAATGAGTGAAAAGCCACGTTTATTGTGGACCTTATTCGAATACATCTGAATCTGAATCTGAATCTGAATCAGTGCGCGTTCAGAAACCGAGCTTTCCTATACCGTCTGGATGAGCGGCTCCGACTATTCAGTGGCCAGTATGTTTCTCCGGTAATACTTGACGTTGATGGCGGTATTATGTGACACTATGCCCTATTGGAGGATCGCTAGGCAGCTGAACATGCTCCAGTTCTGGATATTGTGGATGTTTGACGGCGGCGAAGGCCAGCAAGTTCGAGCGGCTGGCCGCCCATACATGGCCGATTTGACGGTTCAAAGGATAATACAGCTCGAACGGCTACCCATCCAACCAGACCACCTCACCCTTATCATTCTTCAACCAGTGGACGCGATCTGGCGTGAGGCGAAAGGTGGTGAACTGGTTGTTTTCCCGTCAGTTTCGTTGTCTTTTTCAGTTTGAAGAGCACTAGAACCAAGTTAAAGGGCGGGTAGCGGTAAACCATGATATGGGATCTCTTATTATCTGACTTGGTAAGAATTCGAGTCAATTCGCGGATTGATTGGTGCCGTTTCCTTGCCCTTGCCGCTATCTTGATGACTCCTCACCACTTGACCAAGGGCGGCTTTTGTGGTCGCGACCGGGCTGAGCCTGCCACCGAAGTCCCAGCTTATTACGCCTCAGGCAGATGTGCAATTGGCTGCTGCTGATGTCCAGCTGCTGGCAGACCAGCTTCTGGCTCATGACGCCGTGGATGCCGCCATGCAATTTTACCACGAAAGGAGAGATTGTATCCCTTTCTCGCAACTGCCTTGGACGAAAACTACCATGTGAACCCGTCTGTGAATCGACTCCTACTCAGAGCAACAGTCACATGACAAGGTCAGGTCACTGCTGAGTTGAAAACCGGTAGCAGAGGCACGTATTCATCCAATATTCCCACTTCTAACATCAGAAAGGATTAGGAAACAGTGCAAACAGATATGACGAAAAAGTAGATGTCCGGATAATTTCGTTACACCCTGTACTGAAGTAGTTTTATTGCCTTCGTAACATGTTACGAAGCTGTTAGAGAAAAAATAGCGTTCTGCCCCTCCAACTTTTGTTTATTGGTAGAACTTCGTTGCTTAGCAAACCACTATGTTGTTCGCATTGAGGAGCTTTGAAATGTCTGTGTAATTCAAAATGTTAGTTCTGTAATTAAAAGAATTGATTCAGTGTTGCAGAGGCGGATCCAGCTCAGATATTTTTTTTTGGGGGGGGGGGCAAACCATAACAATTTATCGATTCTTTCCATGCATCGTCCATAGGCGTAATGTTAAAATTATGCCGTTTGGGGGGGGGGGCAAATGCCCATTTTGCCCCCACCCCCTGGATCCGCCACTGCAGTGTTGCACACAATCTAACTTAACAACCGAGCATTGCAGGTTTGACAGCTTTTGCCCCACCAGCACCACCTTCCCTGGAAAAGCTCCACCCTTGCCTATGGGGCAAAACATAAGGGACAAAAACACAAAACAAGACAGATAAAAAACAAAACAAAATGAACTCATTACCTAATGAAGTTCAGTCTGGAGCAAAAACGTAGGTAATAGGTATCTATGTCAAATTAGAATGAAAGATTAAAATCAACCTGACCACTGACCAGGTCTTACGGTCTGACCTGATCCTAACCGCCTTACTTCACCTAACTTCACCCAATTCAACCTAACCTACCACAGTCCACAACACCTGCAGAGGTACCTTCCTGGAAAATGAGGCCCAGGGATGTGTTTAACTTATTGGAATATTACCATGATTGCTTGTCAAAATGTGTGTCATCATGCTCTTGTTTGACAAGTGATGTATAATAAATGTGACATTCAAAAATGGTCTCCTGAGTCCTGACTGTTGAGTGATCATCAGAATATTCAAATAATCAGGGTACAATGATGTGCATCATAGTGCACACTTATCATGTTGTTTTTGTGTAGGCCCTCTGCGCATTAGGTATTGTGTACACTGCTATGTGCACCTTAAAGGAAATAGTTCACTTTCACGAAATTATTTTTTTTGCAACGATTTATGATTTTTTATGTTCAAAATAATCAGCAAAGAAAATAAAACCTTTTTATAACAAAAGATTTTTTTTTTTCTATATTTTGATATAGGAAGAACTTTTCAGTTTCTGTAAGGCACATGCGATCCAGTATGAAAAGAGCATGGGTCCCGAAAATTCTTCAGAAACAGAGAAATTATCGCAGCCACCGGCATTTGGGCGATCTGCTCGATCTGATAATGTTCCCCTGAATGTCCTAATTGATCAGTACGAGAATTTCTCTAGAGTTCTCGTAGATAATTTCTCTAGTTTCTGAAGAATTTTCGGGACCCATGCTCTTTTCATACTGGATGGAAATATATGCAAGGCACACATCCTCAAGGCAAGACACCTTTGAAATAGAATATCTTTGCCTAGGGTGATCGTTGGGCTGTAAAAGCTCCTGATTTATGCTCGTCTCAGCCCAAGCTACGGAACTGCTATTCCAGTTCAAAACCCATGTTAAAAAGTGAACTATTTCCTTTAAGGAAAAAAGTGACTGGTGGTACATGAAAAGGGTTGTGCAACTGTGAAGTTCATGCCCTTGGTCTTCCTGGAGTCAAATGCCTATTGCTATAGCAGGATCAGTGAGGGTTGTAGACATGCTACATACACTGTGAATTGAAGATATTGGCACAAATTTCATCCATAATTACTATGCTTAACACCTCATGTAAGAAGCAACATAAATGCCCAGATGATACAGCTCTCTGGTCAACATCATACAAATTTATTGACATACTTTGCAGGTACATATTTACATTCATAGCAAATACTTTCGATTTGATTCAATAACTAGGTGCTAGTAAGCTTGCATTTTTGTAGGTACAACAATGAACATATATTTAATCATAAAAAACTTTCTCGTGGCATTCATCACATACCTTTTTACCGAACAAGTACCTATCTACCATGCATGGATTCTAAATTTTGTACGCAATCCACCTATATCTCAACTGACACATTGAAATTGAAATACCCTTACAAAACCTAAAACTGTACAAAAGAAGAATGCAATGCTACAAGAAATATGAAGTTCTGAAGTTATTCTCACATGCTGGAATGTTGAAACTCTACTTTTGTCGTCCATTTCCATGTTTGATTGAGCCATCATATAGAACCGTTTTCGCTCTTCAGTCATAAGCTTTTGCACAAATCTTGAATTTTTACACATCATCTTGAACCATGCTCCAGTCTTTCCAACAAGGTAGGTACTATGGAACATCAAAGCAATTTTGATTTGTTACAACAGCTTCAGATCATGATAGGCTTGAAGTTTGTTACACCATTTGCCAGACAAATCACTACAACTACAAAATGTATATCAGTTCCCAAACTAAGCAATTGATTATATCAGTATTTGCAGTTTCCACACAATGTTTCATAAAATTATTCGATTTTTATATCACGAAACCCAAATAATCCACAAATTGTTATTGAAGCACTCCCACCCCACTTTGACTTCAAGCAGACTTCAAGAGTTCACAGCAATAACCAAGGCTATATAAACCAGGTAGAACGTTCCCGACAAAAAAGTGGTGACAAGCGATAATTAGTAGCCGCGACCCTCACTTGTTCAAAACTATATCCGCAAGCAGCATTTACAGGCTAGCGGAAATCGACCAATCGGCGTTCGGCAATACTCGACGCTGATTGGCCCGATGCTCGTGACGAAATTGCGGGGGACTGTAGCTATTCCCCTATGGCGTTTAATAGACTTACGGCTTTTGAAGGGGATTTATACCAGTTTTTGTTGGGTTTGAGGCCATTTTTGAGCTTGGATATTCTTTCTGTGACTTTTGACTGTGTAATAACGACATTTAATCATGACATTCTATATACTACCGGTGTCACATCGGCCAAAAAGACCGTAAGTACATGGGATAGACGGACCACTGCTGATGGGGCCACACATGTCGGCGTGTGGTCATCGGAGGTCCGTGAGGGTTCGACATAGACCCTTCATGGGTCGGTATAGGCCCGGTGGGTCCAGTGTGCAAGCCTATCGGGGGCCGGTGCTGACCCAACAGGGCCCAGTGGCATATAATGTAAGGCTGTCTAGGCCGACGTTGAGGGCTCATGGGGGCCATATAGGACCAATAGGGACCACATCAGTCAATCAGGGGCCATTTAGGCCAATAAAGGCACTTCAGGGGACTTGAAAAGGTCATTCAAGAGCTGTGGTGGGCCCATGAGGGGACGGCATTGGTCCAGCAGGTGCAGTCAGGGGATGTGCCCGATGTTGTACGGGTATCTCAGTGGCCCATTTGGGCATATCAGTGACCAATTTGGACCCAGCAGAGGGCTTTGTAGACCTATCAGGGGCTGGTGATGGTTCATCAGGGGCCAGCGTTAGTCCATCGGGGCACGGCATATGCCCATCAGAGGTAATTGCGAGCCCACGCTGAACAATGATGGCCCTTCAACGGCCCCTAATGGATCTACATTGACCCATGGGCCATGATGTGTCATGTATGCCCCTATGACAGGCCTACTCAGACCCCTGATGGACATTCCCGGCCTCTGATGACCCTATACTGAATGCTAAAGGGGCTCTAAGTTTCTCCAATAACCCTTCGTCAACCCATTATTACCATACGCTGGCACTAGGGGCCCCACATCAGCCGCAGGGCAGTCCGTGCCATGACAGCATGTCTTTTCGGCCGATATTACATCGGTAATATTTATTAAAATCATGATTTTATGGTGTCATTATATAGCTAACAGTCATAAGAAATATATTTCAACTCGAAAACAGCTCCAAACAGCATATAATTTTAAAGAAACTCCTCCGAAATCCAAAAGCCTATTCGGGTCCATAGAGAATAACTGCGGTCCCCCGCAATTTCGTCACGAGCGTCGGACCAATCAGCGTCGAGTACTGCCGAGCGCTGATTGGTGAATTTTCCGCTAGCGTGTAAGTACTGCTCGCGGAACAAGAGTTCGTCGACAATCCTCCACAAACGTCTGTCACCATTTTTCGTAATGCTAAACAGCCGGAGCGTACCCCCCTGGCAATAACCAAGCAATAACAATACAAGAAGCAAATAAACATTGCGCCAGATTTCGTATGAAACGCGCCATCATCCTGAAGTTTCTACCACAGACGGTAGTTCAGCCGCAGCCGTAGTGCAAAAACCCCTGCCCACCTTACCCCACGGCGGAGCTCGGTTGCAATTTGTAAATACGCCCTCCAAACACCTGTCTACAACGCACCATGTTTCTAAGGATCACACCTTTTTATAGCGCAAGAACACGGGATCAAACGGCCTAATCCGCACCCAGTCTGCAGAAACCTTATTCAGTACTCAGTCCATGCGAGTCTCCCGTATGCGACAGTACACGAACCTGTTGTTGTTGCTGCTGCTGCTGCTGCTGCTGCTGCTGGTGATGATGATGCATGTAGAGCGCCTGACTGACGGGCGGCATGAGCAGCCCTCCTGGCTGGTAGCCGCCTCCCGGCATCCCGGCACCCAGTCGCGGCTGGCCCAGCATACCCTGCGGCGGGTACATGCCCGGCGGGGGCATCAGGGCGCCGGCGGGGTCCTGAGGGCGAGAGAGAAGGGAATTTAGTGTCACGACTCTCACATATTCAGTGAGCCTCTCTAGTATCTAAGTTACACATGTTACATGTGTTAGGTACACACACTCTAGTTACACATGGACATGTCGACCAATACTGGCTAGTATTGGTATCACCAGGAAAGAATCGGAGCTATTCCTGGGCGAACTCGATCAATGTCTCGTTAATTACCAAATGCGACCGTCGAGGGCTCAGATTCTCCATTGAACAGTTCCCCAGGGGAGTACAGGGGGAGGGGGGGGGCGTACCGACTAACAGCCGCACCACTCGGCAGTAACGACCTATGTATGAGTTTGCCCCTAAGGCGTGGTAGTGAGTTGGTCCTTTTCTTTTTCGTGGAAACGATCCTACACACATTTGGCTGCTTCTGTTGATACGGTATGATACGGTGTTTCGATCCGACAATACAACACAGCTGTTGGACTAAAAGACAACACACTATTCGTGGAGCCATGCTGCTGAGTCGGTTTTATAACCAGCAGGACAGACGGTAAAACATCGGAAACAGGTGATAGAGGCGGGATAATGAACAAGTGGCATGTTTACGAGCTGAACGGGACAAAAGGTGGAATAAGAACACAGTCATCAACGCCGAACAAGTGGTAGGAACTGATAGACAACGAGCCGAATCACGCCATAAATCCGTGTAAGCGAAGGATAGCAAATGTCAACCAGCTACATATAAGCTGGTAAAACTTCAGGTGTTGCTTCTGTGTAGCAGTGAGGACAGTTTCCAACTCAGCCCTGTCCTGGGAGAAGACTCGCAACAGAGCTGATGTTAATCGTTCGTAAATTTTTCATCACTTTGCATCATTGTAGTGCGTGAGTTTTACCCATTTCATTCGTCTCTTACTTGGGATTAATTTCCACAATGCTGCACCCGCCTACATATGCTCTCGTAACCAAGAAGAGAGGTTCCCTGTCCCTAAGCCCCTCTACCACCCTTACCCTCTCCCCTCTCCGCTTCCCTATCTCACCTGGCCGGGTGACCTGGAGTCGCTCATCAGTGAGCTGAGCAGGGGCGACTTTTTCGCCAGTGACGACTGGTGGCCCGCCGGTGAGCCCGGGGGTCGTGCGTACGGCGACGGGAAGCCTCCGTTGACGTAACCAGGGACCGGCCCCGGCGGGGGGTAGCCCCCGTACGGGGAGTATGGCAGTCCCGGGGCTGGTGGCCGCTGCTGCTGCTGCTGCTGCTGCTGCTGCTGCTGCTGCTGCTGTTGTTGCTGTTGCTGTTCTTCAGCATTATTCTGAGGGAGGAAGACACATGAAAGGTTAGCTGGGGGCGTGGGGCAGTAAGATGAGAAGAAACAAATGTCCGTGATGATGCAGAATTACGAGCTGCACGGAGGTCAATCTGAGGCCGATATCGTGAGCGGTGGCCTCCTCTTTGTACCGCCCTGCCAGCGCTTTCTGTTACGATAATACACAGCCGGTAGGGTAAAGGTAGAATCACACCATAAATCACAGCCGAAATGAAATGCCAGACGCTGTCGGCCTTTAATCTTGGAGGATGAACTGCATGAGCTATATGCCGGGTATCTGGGAAAACCTGGTATCGTGCCGTGCCCTCCGAGGAAGGTATTCTTATATATCAGATCGGGAAACAAATTCAGTATCGACGTATATTCATGCCGTCAAACTGAGCATTAGGCAAATCGGGTTTGGACGTCCCTCAGGGCTCAGGGGACAGAAGCCATGCAGGAACATCGACCGGATATATCGTAAAACGAACACGGCACTCGGAACCGACCGGAAAAAAACCTCCGACAGTACAGACGTTAAATCTCCAGTCTCCGATTCTGTACCGAAATCGTTCAACCGTGAGTCGGACAATGTGTCGATTGTACAAAATATTGTCCGGTGCTGCGGACACCTGTATCTGTCGTGGAGATTACTGCATTCCTGTCAGCGTTATTGTGTTCTACAAATCCTACCGGCGAGCGGGGTATAAGGACGGTGTAGTGAGCTGGAAATGGGGGATACCTGGCACATCGTCAACTGTAGGGTACTATAATAATAGAAATATATGAAACATATCAATCTTTTCTCATCTGATCTGATCCGATCTTTGGCTGATCAATGATCATTCTCAACTGTCACAGTCACTCTGCCGCCCGATCTCACCTTTGAGATAAGACTGGCTCGATATGCTGCCAACGCCTTCAGGTATTCCTTCTTAGCGTTCTCCGTCTTCTTCTTATACACCTGTCGGGACAGAATAAACGGAGTGGTCAGCTCACCGCATGAGGCACTAACCAGCCAAACAGTGCAGTGAAACTGAGCATGGCATTCAAAACAGGGGCGATTTAGATAACACCAGTCGCTTGCAAGAAACAAGACAGCCCGCATAACCAGGGTTGCTTTGGACAGAATTCAGACAGGAACAGAGATACCCAGTAGAAACATGAACGAACACAACTATCGCCCTAGTACCAGGTGACACGGCGACCCAGAACGAACCTCAGGTACATCACTAATCAAAGATGGAATGCAGTGTCAACACATACCTCCACATATCTTACATATCTACACGACATGCATATGGATAAAACCCGCATGTTTTAGGGTGATACATATAATGAAGAATGTATTAAAATTTATAGGCCGGCACTAATTCTAGCAGGTGCAGGTGTAGAGAAGGCAGCTGGTCGACTCTTGTGTCATCGATAGTAGTATCGATATCGATATCGGTATCGTCAGTATCGATATATCTAACTACGTCGCCACTCCAGCTCTAATAGCCACGCACGCCATTCGGTAGCCACGATCGTATCGTAAGTGCTACGAATGCGTTATCTAAAAGTTCTCATCGATGTTTGAGCCCCAATAAAATGAATTACTGTTGAGCATTGTGAGGTCGATAAAGTCGTTCGGTCGGACCACAGAAAGGTGCGGGACATTAAGCAGAGCACCGACTTAGGTACATTTCGTGACCCCGCTCGGTTTTCCTGTCCTATTCGCCCCGCAAGAAACGGTCCCACTACCTGTCCACCCTGTCCGGCATGTCTCACCGCAGACGGAATGTCGAGGGGTGGCATTTCCTTCCCTTTACGGAGCAGCCCTGCACTCGTCCACAGAATATCTCAACAACGACAGATGTCGGACGTTTTTAACAGGGTGCCACGCGATTAAGAATGAGTTATTGACGGTATCCAGAGTTGCTGAGACAGAGGGGACAACTGTTTGTGATTTTTGTCAGTCTGGATTTGTTATTCAGGATGGTGAGTTCTGTTCACGGGGGGTTGTTGGTAGGATGTCTGACATGGTCGGTCATGTCTCGGGGACTGGCCGCTGCCACTCCCTCTGGTATCCTGTACAGACGCCGCTTCTGGTGACACCTCATGAACGGAAAATGAAGTGCGACTAACGGGACTGGCCGGGGTGCAGGAGCGGCCCAGCCCTGTCCCCTGCAGGTGACCTTGGAGGACAGAGGTCGAGTGCACCTAACCCACTGCACCGGCGGCACCGCCTAGCGTATTGCGCGACCTACGATACTCTAACATCGTCAGTTTCTCAATTAACTTTCTAATCGAGAGTTCCTGACAGCTTGTCTACCCGACCCATGACTACTCCAACCGCATTCCGCTTTTAATTCGTTTTCAAATATCCCAAACAACATCCGACAAACAACGTCTCAGTTGTTTTCTCCATCACAAACAAATCCGACCGAGGCCGGTAGGGCGACCCTCAAATTCTGCCGAAGCCTCTCCGTGTCAAGGCTTCCTCGTGTTACTGCGCCACGCACGGGCCGCGATCAATACCAATTCCTGGTCCACGGGCCGGCTTATCAAAGTGAGCTGTAAACGGCCGGACATTTCGCAGCCGCACACACATCGATAAGGGCCTCACTATCGGTGGAGCGCTGGCCTGCCGCTCAATATTACCGCATACACGCACAGCGCACCGACATATAGACACACATACAAACGAGACGGACGGAACGACGGGCGGACAGGCGGACAGACGGACGGATGGACGGATGGACGGACAGAGAGACGAACGAGCAGACGGACAGACAGACGGACGAACGGACAGACCAATCGACAGACAGCCCAGGCAGGCAAACAAACGGACAAATTGACTGATCGACATGCAGACATCATACTCACGTTTTTGTTATCGGTCTCCAGCGCTTCCCACATTGACGCAACGATCTTGCTGACCTCGCCAAAGCTGGCGTTCGGATTGTGGCCCTTGATGGTGGCCTGCGTGTCCCGGAAGAACAAGGCGTACGCTGACACAGGCCTGGGGAGGATAAAAGAGGTCACTAGTTAGAGGTTACGAGCCATCGACTGAAAGTACCGGGTAGAGGCTAACACCGGACGTTATTGTCAGCAAGTTTCCACACATGATTGGGGCAATACGTCAATACAGGAACAAACCACCAGTCATAAATAATGAAACATCACGAGGTACTGAATTATGTCGCCAGGTCAAGGACACTCGTTATCCATCGGGTCATGATTGGATGACGTCACAACTATCCGTTCAGGTCAAGATAGGTCATGGGTCAGACGGGGTCAGTATCCGAGGTCACTCATTGGCGTGAGACGCACACTGGGTACAGGTTGCGTCAGGGGTTTTGGATTTATGGCGTTGGTCGGTTGAAACGCGTGTGTCTATGAGGTAACAGGGTGCTGGGGTCAAGCCAGCGGTGGCCTCGGGTCGGGGTTACCGACAAACAGACTAGTCTCCTGGCCAGGGGGAGAGGAGAGGGGGTGTGATGTCACCTGCCAGTGGAAAAAGACTAGACATAACCCATAACTATCGCTCATAGGAGTTAGGACTCGACGTTGTTATCAGAACAGTCCTCAAGCATCGAACGAGTTACCACCTCCTGCACCAATGCACCATACACTGGAGGTAAACCAAGCTTCTCAGAAAAACCTCCCCTGCCAACCAGCACCGTGCTCTTTTCCCTGCACAATTGCCGGTATTTCGGTGAAAGCCACCAAACGCTGCCGGTCGAATTGATGGTGATTGCGCACGCTGCTGACGGCCTCTGATAGGCCGCGGTCAGGCCGACACGGTTTTTGCTCGCCGCGCGGCAGAACAGACGCTGCTGCCGACAGACGGAACCGAACGGTTTCCACTGGCGCGGGGGCCGGGGCAGGGCCGTTTTACGACCGCACAACTGGAATATACAATCGGCAGCCGGGTGAATCAGCCTTTCCGATGGCGCCGACGCCAGTGCGCACATGTCGATAAGGCAGCATATCCTGTTCATGATGACGGCGCTGGTTCGCCGAACTATTACGCAGCGCGTACAATGTGGCCGAGAAGTCCTGACCCATCGTGTAGCGGGGACGGACGGATAGTTCTGGGAAGGAAATGTTCTTCAGAGCATAAGGCTTGGAAGAGAATAGACTGGAATTTTCCATCATTCCATTATTCCATTATTAGAGTATGAAAAGAACTCGGAGCATCCAAAAAGCTCCCTAAACTGTTAAAGGCAATGAATATTGGTCAGGGCTATGAAAGCTCAATAAGTAGGTAACGTTGAACCATTGAGAGCAAGACTTTCTTACCAACACCACTGCACTGTTTAGTTTAATCTGTGTATAAGGCACAGGTACCGCTAGCCCACTGGGCTGCAGCGCGCCCGGCCCCGTTCCTTGCCGGCCGGACCCACAAAAACGCCACCGCTCGGCGCCGTTCGGCCTTTTCATAAATTACCAATCGTAAACAGGATCGTAAACGTTCGCCGAGCCGACGCTCAATCGAATCAAGAGCAGTGCGCTGACAAAAAGAGAGCATTCATCTCTGGGCCGGCCGATTGAAGTGCCGTGATTTGTGGTGTTGGCGTCGTTCCTCGATCTCTGTGCGGGATTCGTCGCCGTCCCAGCGGCCATGTGAGGGCGTCAAACTCCGGTGCTGAGAGGCGGCGACTTGCCTCAAAATTGCGACATCTTGCGACATCGAAAGGTCATTGTGATACGACTAATTTCAGCCCGGCCGAGCGGCGCCGCGGGCTCACAAACTTTTGTGCCGAGCGGTGATGGCGATCGAAAAGTTGAATTGGTTGTCCCGGTCTGTGCGCGGAAGGGATGGGTAGGAATGGGGTTTCTCTGCCTCCTCAGAAGAGGAAGCAGCGAAATCGTATCCCATTATAGGGGAAAGTGGGGTATGACGGGCATGTTAGTTTTGCGGGTCTGTACCTCTGAAGTCTTTTCTTCGATTGCTTCACCAATTTAGCACAACCATCTTCAGGCATTTTTCTTTCAGTGCCCCTTTGACACCTAAGGTCTAAATCCAATACTTTTCAATTGAGAGTGTTTTTAGCAAGACCCTGCAAAAACCCGTCTTACCCCACCGGGGAGGGTAAGACGGGCACTGATGTTGGGGCAAGACGGGCACAACGTTAGTTTGAACTTCTTTACATATTTACTGCCGAATAATTATGCTAATACATCTTACACATCTGGCTTTTGATCTTACAGTCAATATTGTAAGGTTCGTAGCATCGCACGGCTACTTATAGGCGTAATGGTATTGATCGATGTAATGAAAAAATTAAACAAATTCAAAGCTGTCTATTTAAATAATTTCGATGGAAATGCGTTGCAAATGATGTAGAACAGCGTAAGTTAGCTTAAAATAACAATATCAGATGGTTTGCATTCCTTTCATCATTGTTGCCCGTCTTACCCCATTCGGCTGCCAATAAGGATATCACACCGCCTCCGGGCACCAAATTAAAGGATTCATTCGCCAGCATACACATTTGGATGACACCCTAAGACGAAACTCTCATCAAATTTCCAAAACAAAATATGAAACAGCGAGGTCAGAAAACACTACGAAACACGATAGTTCTGCTTAGAGTGCAAGGCACGTTTTTAGCTTTTCCACAATTTTTCAAAAACTATTTAAGATGCGTACCTCTGCCTTCACCTCACAGCAAAGAACCACACGGCCGATTACCAACCACAACAAGAGGTTGCTAGCGCCAACGGTTTGGGCTAGAGGGCCGGTGCCCGTCTTTCCTACCCCGCCCGTCTTACCCCACTTTCCCCTACCAGCGTCTCCTATTGAATCATCTTGGACCAGCCTGCTCCTCCCACGCCAAAATATCTTAGGGCAAAGGAGCATGCACCAACCAACTGCGATCTTCTAAAAACAGCAGCGGCAGAGAAAGTGGAAGTAGCGATACCCTCACTTGTAGCGTACACGGCACGGGCAGCGACAAACACAACAAAAATAACCATAACGAGAACGATGGTAAAAATGTACGCCATTTGTCAGCTCACTTGGCGTTTTTACGGCCTTTCTTTTTAGAAGAGCTAATACCTAAGTCTGCTTTCCGGTTTCAACTGGTTAGCCGCCCTGATCAAACTTTAAACAAAAATTACGTGCTGTACGCTCTTGTAAATGAATTTATGTAAAAAAGAGTAATGGTTTCCTCCTAACTTACTATTACTTTATGTAAATCATTTTTTTACTCTGTTTATTATGCCAGCTGAAAAGGGCCGAGAGACAGAAAGCTGAACAAATGGAGTCAGTGCAGCGTGAACGAGGCTTGGCGTATATGTACGGCTCGACTTACAATATTTCGTTTTTCGTTTTGCAGATCATCCTATCCGACTCATCCGACTGACCGACCGCGGCAGGGGAAGGGGAGGAGGCCCTCGGTCAATCCCTGTCGCCGATCCTGCTGTCCGCTGACCGCCCGGCGCCCGATGCGGTCAGCGTAATCAACGCCCGGCACATTCCTCTGTCATTTAATCCGTCCAATTAATTTCACCGCCCTGAGAGTGGCGATTCCGCCGCACCACCGTGACTGCTCAGCGCAATCGCGCAGTCAAGTACGTGTTCCAGCGCTCGTCACTGTGCAGCGATCGCAATTCGGGTGCCGGAATCACGCCCCGATGATCCCGGAATGATCCCGGAATGATCGCTGACGGCGCCGGCAGGCATGACCACTAAATTCCGCCCGAATGAAGCGGCGTCGAAACGGGCGAATTAGCGCCGCTTTTGGCGCCGTTCGAGCAGGCCGAGTACGTCGACGATGACCCGACTACTCCACTCTACCCACCACCGGACCGTACTAATGAAACAACGGCTGGCAGCATAATTAAACAACGTAACAGAACTCGACCAAATCGCCGGGTGGAGTGCTCTAACACTGGCTGGCCGAGTATCACTGACAGCGCGTAGAGTAGCCGAACGAACCGGCCGAAACTGCTTATTGCCGGTGAGAGGGTAGATGAAAACGATAAAATTAGCCTAAAACAGTGCACATCGTTAGATAGTGAGGCACTCTACCTGTTCGCGATAACAGAGGGAAAATGGCCGACGCTGAACAAAGAGCGCAGTTAACGGGGCGGCCATTTTCGGGGAAAGTGACCGGCACGCAGAATTTCTCGCGGTCGGCGCGGTTGCTTACTTTTCCGGTTCGTTGGGGTCGCGTTTCTTCCTCTTTCGGGTGACCCTGGGCTTCTTGGCGGGCTTCATGTTGCCCATATCGACCTGGGCAGGCTCTGGCGAAGGCCTCTGCTCGGTCCGCAACCACTGCTGAGCAGGCAGACAGACAGACAAACAGAGGTCAGACAACACAGCTCAAAACAGACGGGCAAAGGCATGGCGAACAGATCATGAGCTGACCGAGCAGACGAAATACTCCGCTCAGAGCAATGAGGCTGTGGTGGCATTGTTCGCAAGTGCAGACAGGCAACTGATGAGGCTTCTCAGGAATAATCGGATGAACAATGAGAATACCTAAAGGAGACTGGCATTGAAGTCAATGGAGGCATATGGTTCTTGAAACATACAAATGGTGCATAAATAATATTCATAAGGAGCTGAAGGTTGAACTATTTTTTAGAAGCACTTGACCTGTGAAAGAATACATGCGAGTCAAAGGGTGTGAGGTGTAGTAGAAGCTGACAGAAGGCCTAAATGCATCGATGGACAAGCAACTGTGCCTTATAATCCTTAACCACCATACGTAGACGGCTCAAATCACACTCCGATAGCCCTTGAAAAATCAGTCAGAGCTGTAACACCTAACCAGATGGCATCGCCCCATCAAACAGTCTGTCCAACAGGACCAACACCTTGACCAACACGGCAACAGTCGTGTACCAGTTGGACAGCGTGTTGCAACACCTTGCCAGTGCACGTGGTGCAACACCACACAGATCCTCCCACAATGCTGCACAGACAACGCCAGTACCCGGAGAAAAACTCCTCTGTGGCGAGCAGCACTGATAAATGAGTCGAGATTTCGTCCGATATCAAACGGGGTCACTTGGGGCTCGGTGGGCAGCTATGCGTTTCACTGGAGCTCAATGTGGATCAGCTCGTTTCAGAAATCAGAGAGTAGACATTGATGTAGACGACCGCAGCGAAACTAAACGACTGGCAGTCCGTCAATACAGCAGCATATTCTTGGTATATAAAGTTGGTTGTCAAATAGGAAGAGCGAATAGATGATTGCAACTTTAAGCTATTTCAGCTTATGCTACAAGCTTCATATTGCACTGTAATCGTGATCAACATCTTTCAAACATCTCTTCACTGGATGAAGAATGACTTCGTTCAAGACATACGGTCCGCCCCCGCCCCCAAATCTGATTCGCTCAGCGCTTCATCAAGATCGTATTCAAAGTCGCGATGTCGACTGCAAAGTCTGCAATGGCGTCGCCTTTGCAGGCAATCTGCTGCTTTTGAATAAGATGACGATGAAAAGCGGGCAGAAGAGAAAATCACAGAAGAAAAAACGACGGAAAAATAATCTATAAATCGTTTCAATGCGGCTGGGTCACGAACATTCCCCATTAATGTTGCATTACTCTGCTAATTTATTCCAACACCTCGACAATAAGCGCAGTGCGCACACATCTTGCAGAACAGAGCCGAGAAACCGCATATTTATGGACCATTTATTTTCTGATTTTACGCATAATGTCTTCTAATAGCAGCGGCTGAGGTGAGCTGGATGTGTTAATGTGACCGTTAAAAATTCACAGATGGTTTCGTTTCATTCACAGCAGTCCGGTTCGGGTTTTGGGTATAAGCGCTCCGAGCAATGAAGATATCAGACGAAGACGTTGATTGATTGAATCTTGTTATGGTATTGTCCAGAAGAATTATGAATGAAAGTAGTCGATGACATGCCGGACCGAACATAGTCGCTCATCTACCGTTGCATTTCATAATTGTCAGATTCTAATTCATCCACCTGCTTACATCATGATCAATGAGCATCCAAACGGGCCCTTACCTTCTACAATAAAATATCAACATACGGAGTCATATATCGGCCTGCAATAACCAAGAGGACCGGGATATTCGGAACCCGAGGCTTCCCCGTGAGGCGTGCAATGGAAGAGAGGCTCGCCCGTCGCACATCATGCACAGTGCACATCTTGCACATTCAACACGACTCAACTGCAAGGACCATCATCAAGTGACAAACCTTCTTTCTTCTCCATCCCCCATCACCCATTCACCTAAAGCCGCATTCATTACCTCTATGACGTCACACAATACCTCTTCAGTATGACACGCACCTGAACAAAGACGTACCCCGGGGCGTGGGCGGGGGCGAAGGGGGGGGGGGGAGGTGACGCGTTCATCGCTCCCGCCGATCGGTTACGACACGTCGCCCGTCGGACGATAATCCAAACAGTCAGCCGTTTACCCAATAGGCGGATATCCTCAGTCGTTTCCTTCCTGGGCAAATAGGCGGAGTTGGCGGCGGTTCCGACCCCCCCCCCCCCCCCAGTCGGTCCTCGAGGGGGAGGGGAGGCAGGTGTATTGATTGACGGGACAGGTCGTGTAGTGATAACTGTTCAGCTGATCCCATCCGCCCCAGACGCCGACGATCCCTCGGGTCTGTGTGCGCGCGTTTGTCTGCGAGTGTGTCTGTGTGTGCGTTGGTCTGTGTGTGTGTCTGTGTGTGCGTTGGTCTGTGTGTGGTGGGGTCGGCGAACTACGAATGAAGGACGACCGGGCGGCCGGTGGTTCCATCCTCGGCCGATAGGTGGCTCTCAGAGCGCCCGGCTCGGCCGTGGGTCTGCGTACAGTGCGCTCGCGGAAGGTCAAGTCTCGTGATGACTGATCCGGTATGCGTAGCCCGTCAGAGTGCGTTGCAGGAGAGGTGTCCAACATCCCCCTACCGCGGCCATTCTAGCTGCGACAGAGAACTAGATGCGCAGGGACTGGGGCCGGCGCTCTTTGGGGACGTCCTATTGGTGAATGCCCTGATCTGATATTCATGATGTCAGATAGACAGTGCGCAGTGGCAGGAGAATCAGATAAGAAAGAAAATAAATGCATCGGGGAATAAAAGTGTGTTGGGGACAATGGAGGGCAGCGGGAAAATAGACAACCTGACCCAAAAATGGGCATGTCTTTTAGCTGAGTATGGAAGATCAGATAACATAAGATTTGATGTCAAATCAGTTTCCTTTTAGATAACCAATTGTTGTGACATTTTCTGTAACACAAAGCATTTTAGCTTCAAAGACTCCTCCTCCCGAGCTTGTGCCTATATACCGCATAGACCATCCCTCCTCAGACCATTTTAACCCAAACCGACAGACCATCCCTATTCCCTTACCAGACTACCCCCTCCACAGACCAACTTCAGTCCCCAGAGCGCGGCGGCCAGTCCTCATATCCCATCGATCAATAAGCAAACCGAGCCCAACGCGGGCTCAATCGGCATCGAGCGATCCCTCCCTCCGCGTCCCAGCTGCGTATCGTTCACGGTGAGTTAACGAACTCACAGGATACAACTCACAGCATGAGGAACGTCGAATGCTGGACAAAATGTTAGATCCCCGTGGCCAGGTCGAGAGAACCCACCGGCTGCTGCAGGGCTGCGCGATAGATTGCTGACGGCTGACGCCATGTTGGAGTGTAATAAAGACAGGCTGAATGCCTCTGATGGGGCGAGGCAGTGCGCCAATCTCGTCATATCGGCGTCAATAGCGGCGCACACACACACACGCACACAAACAGAATGCTGCGCAGTACTCGTGTTTTCAGCATGCCTCATCGCAACGGAAGTCCCATAGCAGTCATTTTGGGACGGCAGCTCACAGTAACTTCACCTCACCATCTGTACAAATGATATCTTGACACATGACGACCAGGACACTTCAGCACCTCGACTCCTCCTGAGCTCTCCCTTACCAGGAAAACCGAAAGCCACTGACCCCTCAAGCACGTGCAACCTCCCTACCGGTCGTCGCAGCCACTCTGCTACTGGACAAAGTTGCGCAACGCCTCTCAACATTACGCAGTCGATACGCGTTGTATAGATCGGCGTATTCCTTGCCGACGAGCTGTCCTGTGTCCATCTGTGCCAGTGGATCTCCCCAGTGAGGATCGGGAATGGATCTCAGTCCTACCCCCTCCACAGAGGGATCAGATGGAGTCCACTCAACCGTACGCGGACGGCTCACCAATCACACACACACACAGAGCAGGCCATCTCTGATCCACGCATGCTACGGCCGAGTGACCCGCTGCAGGGGTGGCCAACCAGCCGCACGCACCGAAGGGGTGCCCGACCAGTCGCCGGGCTGTTCGACTCGTCCTCCGTGTCCCGGTCTACAGGGGTGTCAGACAGGGCATATTTTAACAAATTTTTACTGCGTCCCAATGTTGAGCAGAGGGCACGTGCTACGACTAAGGGCACAGGGCAAGGAACAGAGTAGGGCACTGAGGAGGGCAGAAAGTAGGGCACGACAGGTTACGGGGCATGGCACATGACATTTGAGAGGGAAGGGTACAGGTCAGGGCACACAGCAGGGCACAGATCAGGGAACCGGACAGGGTACAGGGCAGGGACGCAGTGGGTCAAATCAGCAGGGGCTACGTCCCAAGGCGAGGGGGCTGCGTCCCATAATGGGACGCAGTAAGTGCCTTAAAATATGCCCTGGTGTCAGACCACCCATCACCATCCGGAGTCTCTCAAGCGGCAGTGTCGGCCGGCACAAAAGCGCTCCCAAAAAAGTTTAAATTGCCTGTTTTCACACCCTAAACATTTTTAATGACACGTTTCTGGCATTAGAGCTCCATCAAGTTGCTTGACGATCCGGGTTCCCAGTTTGCAGGGCTCCACGACCTTGGAATACCCACGTTGCAATGACTCCCACTAAACGACAGCAACAAGAATCCCCGTTTCTCCACCTCAGGCAAGGCAGCTGCAACGTTGCAATCAATTATTTCTCTAAAGACCGCAAAGCAGTTACAAATTTAACGTCAGTCCCCAGGCACCAGCCTATGGTGGAAAGGTCAGCAGTTTGAGAAGTCGTGTAGGCACAGGTTTCCGCCGAAACCCATCGGGATGTGGGTTGGTATGGGCGGAACGAAACGATGACTGAGCTTTCCTCGGTGAGTTCACGCCTACGCGACATCTCCTGGAAGTGGTCCTCGTATAAACTGCGAGAGACGGGCCTTAGAGTCTCAGTGAGTGAGTGAGTGAGTGAGTGAGTGAGTGAGTGAGTGAGTGAGTGAGTGAGTGAGTGAGTGAGTGAGTGAGTGAGTGAGTGAGTGAGTGAGTAAGTAAGTGAGTGAGTGAATGAGTATCTAAGTACCTAATTGAACGAATGAGAGGGTGAGCAAACTGAGTACGTGAGAAGTAGCGGGCGAGTGATTGAGCGAAGTTTTGCAAAAGATAGCCAACTGAGGGGATGATCCACAAATCGCCACACTGTGTATTGCAATATTCCTCCTCCCTCAACACCCCACACAGTCCTCACCTGTTGCTGCTGCTGCTGCTGCTGCTGCTGTACCCTCCTCTCTGAATCATCACCGCTCTCCTCTCCTCCCGTATGACCAGGTGACTGGCTGATCCGCGCTGCTGGTGACCCCGACACAGGCGGTCCCATGAGTCCCCCGGCACTATAGAGGGGCGCCCGGTGCTGCTGGTGTTGCTGCTGCTGGTGCGCCGCCGCAGCCATCAACTCGTGTGCCGCGTAGAGAGAGCCCGGGTGCTGCTGGCCGGCACCCGGGTAGGGTCGCACGGGGGGCTGAGGTAGGCCGCCCGGTACGCCGGAGCCGCCGTACAGGTCCCTGCGGGTACACAGAGGGGGGACAGGTCAGTACACAGGTCCCTGAGGGGCACACATAGGGGGGGGGGGGGAGTACAGCTCAGTGAAAATCCTTGAGGTATCCGGAGCGAAAGATGGTGATTGGAGCACAAGTCGCACAGCGCCATCGGTTACAGAATAGTTAGGTGGTCTAGGGGTACACCGGCGGGAAGAAAGCTATGATTAGAGCTATAGGTCGGTCTATACAGGGAGAGAGAGAGGGGGGGGGATCAGGTGGCTGGAAATACACAAGGGGGTCTATTCACAGTGGCATACAAAGACAGCCGAATAAATGGGCATACAGGACAGATGATAAATGTCAGATGACATGGGACACATTGGGTCGGAAGGAAACTCGTTTCTGCCTTTTGTCAGATGAACAAAGAACGAATGGCGTCATCGGAAATTTGATGACGCCGCAGATTGGGGAAATAATCAATGCCATCCAGATAGATCAGGCGACGAGTTTAGTCGAGATTGAGAAGATAAATGAGCGTATTCAAAGAACAAAGCACCTCACTAAAACAGAATGTCATGATTATGCAATGCATGCCCCCAAGAGACTCCAACATAACACCTTCCAAAACACCAACAGTAACATTACTCCACGTGTAGACTTAACACTACCGGGTCCAACTGCACTATCTGGTCGGACCTGTGACGTAACCGTGACGTCACCGCACCCCTAGCCGTGAGACGGCTGACACAGCTCTCCCCCAGACAGAGCTGAGCTTTCAACAACTGTCAGACATGAGACAACTCGCCATGGGCCCGCTCCCAGCGCCCCGAGACTGTGTTGACGAGCTGGGATGTTTGGCGGCCGTGGCGTCTAAACAATGACACGGAGCGCCATCGGTATCGTATTTTAGCTGGCTTGGCAGTCAATGTCAGCGAGAAGCAGCCACCGGTTCACGGTCAGCGGTCAGTGGCCAATGTTTAGTGGTCAGTGGTCGATGGTCACTGGTCAGTGGTAGGCCGTCGGTGGTCAGCTATAAGTCAAGTATCACCTACAATTTTTATTTTAAACGTACCACTACCTGGAATACAATGGAATGGAATAGAATGGAATACAACCCCTTCAACTGTGTCTTTAACGCTCAAAATTATTATACCTCAAGTGCTTCATATTGGAAACTGAATACAGCTATGGAGAAACTAGAACTTTAACCAACACGGAATATACCTTCAAAAGGGTCATGAACCACAATCGATTCCTTACATTAAACGCCAATTCTTCCACACTTTCACTCCTTACATTAAACGCCGATATTTCCATTACCGAATAACAGCGTATAGACATGGCAGTACCACGTCAGCATTTCCAATTACTGATCGCTAAACGTCCGTCGGTTGGCATGGTGCCAGCTCTTTATGTCCGTAACGGCCACGTAGCCAATCTACAAAGTGCTTCACCAGAAACGCCACACTAGCGTGCGAGGAACTTTCTCTGGCATTATGAATGCCCCTCCCCGCCCCAACCCCACACGCAGCTACATGACGTGCAGTGAATAATGTACGTAGACACTATAACTGAATTGGGAGCTGTGAACCGGTTAACCCGCGCCCGGCTGGGGGTCCTGGATTTCCACGCCCTGCTGGGGGGGGTGTCTGAACACCCCCCCTTCTAACTCGTCTCCTGGGCCACGTAGCGATACGCGGAAGGCGGCGTTCGAAAGAGCGTAAAAAATAATGACGAAATCACTTCGGTCAATTTTTTGGTCAGGTCAAAGGTCAGGTCACCAGAGGTCATTGAAGGCAAAATTTCGCCGATTTCCAGGTCGAATGTCGACAATTTCCAAGATGCTAACGCATAACTCGGGAACCAATAGAGCTACAGCGCCGCGGAAAAGCGCATTCGATAGCCCTATTAACGCCCTTTCTGAGTAATCCTCTCAGATTTGACCTAGCATCAACGGTTTTGCCTGGAGGGGGAAAAACTGCAAAATAGCCGATTTTTTCGGAAACAGTTTTTCTGCAATAACTTTTGACCCAAGCCTTAAACGAGCTTACTTTTACCGGCATCGTGTTCCTCTCGTCAAGACGCATCGAATGAACTATAACTTGACCTTGACAGGTCAACTTGAAAATTTGACCTCAGGTCAAGGTCATGACCTGACCTGAAAGGGTCATGTTGCATATCAGTCGATCCGTATCGTCGAGCTGAACACATCTAATGCGTTTTCATCGCTCTAGCATGCCTCAATCAAAAGTTATTTGCGAAAAAACTGTTAGATACCATTCGTGACCTAAGCTGACCTCAGGGCATAAACAGGGGTCACGGACACCATTTTCATGTTCAGTGTGTCTAAACCACTTGTAATGCAGTGTTTTGGAGTGTTTATAATGTCTTTCGTCCAAAAGAGGCGCATTTCAATTTTCTCCCATTGACTTATAATGGGGAGGTCGCAAAATTGACCTGACCTTAGGTCATTGATATCAAAATTCTGAGATATACATTTTGTACGTGCTATTGCTCTTAGCAATCGCTGAAAGTTTCAAAGCGATGGGTCACTCGGTGTAGCTATGACAGACATTGAAACTTTTTATGAGGTGAGGTCACTTCAAGTGACCTGGTGACCTGACCTTGAATGACCTTGGTCTGGAATTTTCACAACATGTGTTGAATTGATGTATGATAAGGTGTACCAAAAACGGCGGCGCGGAGCGCCGCCGTTTTTGAGATATTCGCGAAAAACCACAAGGGGGGTGTTCAAACACCCCCCCCCCAGCAGGGCGCGGGTTAAAAGGGGCGAACGGTGTCAGGAGAGAAGCTATGTAATTGTGTGCATTTCCGACCCCCGTCCCTCCCCGCGAGGAATTGGAAAGAACGGTCCATATATGCGCTGGCTCAGCCAACCTCCCGATGGTCGCGATAGGACATGGTTCGCGCCCCTCCCATACACCCATAACCCCTCCATGGCTGCCGGAAACGGCACACAACACACCGGAAACAGCTCAGGTGGAAAGAGGGGAGAGCAGAGGACGGAGAGAGTAGAGAGCACTCGGTGACCTCAGCCGTCCTCCTGTCGGCCCACAACGCGGAACGCCGGTCCCACTAATGGGAGCTAATGTGTGCCAAAAGTGTGCCAAAATGCAACAGAGCGTAGCCGTGACCTATGCCACGCGCTGGGCGGGGCGGACGGGTTGGTGCCGTTTTGTGTTTGGCGCCGTTTTGTTTCACGCGCTGAGAACAATACCAGCCGGCCGTTGTCCCGCTATTAGTATTGCTGTCGGTCTAATGCCGACGTTAGTCGGTTTCATTGAACGATCGTGAATCGTGATGTCCCCGACGTCACGGTGATGTATATTGTATTTAACAGTCAGAACCAACGGTCGACGCGACCCAACCGACGCATCGATATCGACACAGCGCATCGATTTCGATGCGTTGCTATCGATGCGATGAATTCGATGCAGCTCATCGATAGAGTATATCAGTAATGTGGATATGATGGTACCAGAGGGCTGAGACACACAAACGCACCCCGGGTAGCCATTTTTAGCAGATCAGACGCATCACCCCGAGCGAACTCGCCACGCGTAACAAACGTATCGCCGTGAATGAGGATTTATTGACTGGGGATGATCCTCAGCGACTCGCAGCCGCTTCTCGTTTGATTGATAGATGAGTACGGTTCAGAGGATGGTGGATTACGACTTGATGAGTTTCCACCGAATATGCTCACACCTGCTGCCGGGGACGCGACGTCGAAAAACGATATTATGCAATAGTACACCAACTTGATGCAAGGTGGAGCTATGGGCAATTTTGCGTTGATGAAAAAAGCCTTTTTTCAAAAAGGCTTAAAAAGGTAGCTAGCACCTATCCATCGGCCATATTACCGTCCCTTAGCGGTACACCATTCAGCCGTAAGGTCCCATTTTTACCCTTTATAAAACGTACACAGCTTCAATGTACGCCACAACCAGCCCAATAGCGGCCAAATTAATGTCCATTTCACTCCGGTCCATCGCCCCCGTCCCCGGCCTTAATATCAAAATAGCCCATTAAGCTCAAAGCACCCTCTCGGCCATTCACATCGAATCATGCTCAGTTAAACGCGAGCTGTAATGACACGAACAAAGCGATTTTGGAACAAAGCGACTCACTCGATCCGACATGCACTTACATTTTACGAATGGTCGGTTATTGTTTCGAAAGCTGGCATGTGTACGTGGAAATATATGAATAACCGCCGTCTGTATTCACATCCAGATACATTTAATCAAAATGGAGTATTGTGTCGCTGACGGTTGTTTGGTACCCGGGCCATACAAGAAAATATGGAGAGGTAAGGAAATGGGGAATGGGTAAATAACCGAGCGGGACGTACAAAAGAAAGGAATAGGAAATAAATGGGAACTCGGAAATAATGCCGAGGTCCCGACGAGAAAGGGAGAGAGGAGAAGATAGAGAAGACGTCGGAGAAAGAGAGAAAGAGGGAGGGGGAGAGAGAGGAGGGAGGAGGAGAGGCATGGAGATCGAAGACGGAAGTAGCATGAAAAACAAGGATAATGCGAAAACAAATGATAATTGGAAGATATTAAGGAGACACGAGGCAATGTTGATAATTCATCACAGATGATGCTGAGAATAGGGAGCTGGGAGATAGAGCAAATGCCAGTAAGAGAGAGAGAGAGAGAGAAAGAGAGAGAGAGAGAGAGAGAGAGCGAAAGAGAGAGGAGAGCAGAGAGGAGAGCAGAGAGAAGAGAGAAGAGAGAAGAGAGGAGTGAGACAGTGAGTGAGTGAGTGAGTGAGTGAGTGAGTGAGTGAGTGAGTGAGTGAGTGAGTGAGTGAGTGAGTGAGTGAGTGAATGAGTGAGTGAGTGAGTGAGTGAGTGAGTGACTGAGGAGTGAGTGAGTGAGAATGCGTGAGTGCGGGAGTGAGTTAGTCAATGAGTTGAGCAAGTGAGTGAGTGAGAGAGTGGGACGATGCAGATGGGGGGCTGAATCAGTGCAATGAGCCGTCGCACGCTACAAGCACCCACCATCCTCACTGTAGCGGTAAGTCGTATGAGCGGCTGAACCGCTCCCCACCGTCCCAGCCCCACGACGTTTGATGTGATAGTGCCGATCAATACCAGATACTGGGCCATTGTGGTGTGTGTATGTGCACCGAGTGGGGACCGACTGTCTCTGTCGAGACCGGCCACTGCTGTACGCAGTGTCATAGTCGGTGTAACCGCTGGGGAGGCGTGGTATTACATCCGATTGTATAGGAAGAGGGTATTATGTGGCTAGTTGGTGTATGGAATTGGGGTTTTGATTGCTGATTAGTAATGGAGTACGCGGATAAGGAAATTATGACCAAACGGACATCGCTCATCACACTATCACTACTACACAACTACACTACTATTCCAGTAAAACCCGTCTACATTAAATCACCCCGATCGTGTCGTATCATCACCCATTTACCGTGACAAGGGCCCCACTCAACGGAACATTACCACCCCAAGCCTGCTACCACCGCATAACGTATAGGTACCGCCCGGAACCAGCAGCACATTCGTAATCCGGCGCGGCGCCACCTCCGGCGCGACTGATTCGCTTCCGACGCAGGTGCGCTGCGTTTGCCACTCTGAGCTGATAGCGACGCACATCGTGCGCCAGATACGTTTCGCAAAGTGCTTAATTCACCACCGACGGGACTGGGGTCTCAAAGGAAACGTCGAGGTATTCTGCTTGAGAATTGGGTTGGGTGTAATGCATACATCCCCAATTGGACAACACACATGGCCAAACCGCCAGCTAGCACGCCGATGTTGGACCTCCGGATCCTAGCATCAAAACGAGAGCATGTAACGGCCCCTCTGACCTGATATTCCACTAGCAGGTCGTCCATTTTCATCCAGGGCCAGTGGCACTTGTCCTGGTGTCGCAATAATAGACAGCCCCCCTCCACTGCCCCTCCCCCCGAGCGTAATCGTCGTATATCGCGCATACAGAGTCGGCAGCTGTCACCGTTGTAAATGCATGCAAATACCACCGAATGTGTCAGCTCGTCAATGGATGCAAATGATGGACGCCGGCGGACTACAGGAGGGGCCCTCAATGGCGACCGAGTTCGGGGTTCTGTCCGAGGCAGTGCTGACCAAACGATCGTGATGAATGCATTGCACTGCAACTCACATTTACAAGCAATGGGGGTGGAAATATCGAGCTCGGTCATATTTTAAGACGTGGGTCTTTTTTACCGAAAAGTTCACTTTGCTTCAGAATGCATATACTTCTACATTGTTCGCGTGATAACCTCTTTCTTGAGCTTGCACAGTTATTTGAACCCTGAATATCAAAACTGCCCCCAAAGTGCGACCCCAATCACACCTGACACAAAGGTCAAAGTTCAAGCACCGCAAAAGGTTGCGACACCAACGACCTCGAAGTAATACGTGTAATAAAGCCGTACAGACTTGGACGCCCCATCATTGCGTATGATACCCGACCGGGGCTGGAATAGAGCCGACGGTTTCCGAGTACAGGCCCACAACTGGCCCGGGCGGCACGAAAAGCAGCTTTCACACGCACGGCTTTTCCATCGGGGAATTTGACGGCTCTGTGACATTCGTGCAGAAAGAAATGACTCGCGTGAAGTGTACGACGTTCAGTGCGTGACAAAGACGTGAAAATATGCACATTATTCGTTTGAGGAATATGAATGCAACGGCAAACACAATTGTGCACAGCGGGATTAGGTCGCTTTTCTAGAAGTCAAGTTACTACAGATTGTTCGGAGGATTGTGGCATGGCTGGTTTTGCCCTATGACATTACCAGCGGTGATCAAACGGTCGCTGTATACACTGTAGTCGCAATGTTCAGCATTCTCGAAACTTGACCTTACACCAGGGGCATTAGTTATACACTGCTTTCATTGCACAGTAAACGAGCCGTGGAAAATGGTGTGTCCTGTTTATGATCGTCGATGTGGTTGCCATGTTTTGTTCACTGCAGCATTTTCCTGCTTTTTCGTTAATTCATTCATTCACAAATGAAAACATTAACTGCAGCTTAGGTTGGAAGGAATGCAACCAGCCGCCAACAAACATCAGAAGTAATCGCAATCAACTTCCAAAGGGTAACCTTAACGAAATCATGGAAATGCAATTATGCCGCATCCCGTGCGTTTGAAGTTAACCAACTAATCGTCATTAGCCCTCAGATTCAACCGCAAATCCACCTACTCAATTTACCCGCCGCTCTACTACACATCTATCACCGTAACCCACCAATCACTCCGTTACCCACCCCTCCCCCTCTCCCACGCCCCCACACTCCCGCTGAGCCGCGGGGCGGGGCGGGGCGGGGCGGGGCGGGGCGGGGAGCTGCATTCATGAGCGCTAATTAACACGTGTCGCCGCCCGCCGGCCGGGTGTTAGCTGCCAATCCGACCCGCGGTGGCGGCTGAGGTGGCGACGGTAGCGGCTGTTGACTAGCCCAGGGCTCGACGAGTCTGTTCGTAAGTTAATAAAGAACCAGATCGTCCTAGCCCCGACGTATGCAGCTCGAAATGCCTGCTGCTACTTCGTGTGCGACTTCATTGAGTTGTGCTAGCAGCTCAATTCATGCGTAGGCTAACGAGCCCATTTAGTATTTGGATGCGTGAGCCTTCAGAAGATGCTTTTCCGAACTAACTACAGTAAGAAAATGGCGGGAGAAGGACTGTGGTACCTAGTGGCGACCACCCATCAAGACTCCAGCATCCACACTCGTCCCCCCCCCCCACCGCACACCCCTGCCCCAGCAACCCACCCCATCCGTGGCCAAGGTCAGGTTGCAGCAACGCAATGTTAATTGCACGAATTAAACAGCGCTATGATAACGAATGTCATTGTTTTGCAATCACCAACGCTGATACACTAATCCAATAAAATAATTGCATTAAATCACGACGATGAAAAATAAAAGGCTGAGTTATGATGGTAAAGCGTAGGCCATTATAAGCTATTTAGTGATACGCAATCTTACAGAGAGGAGGAATGAAAACGGCGCCGTCCAGGTCAATGGTATACGGATTACACCCAAGGCCGTTTAGAAAGGATCGAATAACACACTGATTGCCGTTTTTACGGCACGGTTTCCTGGTTTATTCCGTCGCCAATATGGTTGTTGGCGTCTATCAAAGCAATGTGTACATCTATAACGTGCAATCTGGAATGACATATTTAATCAGTGTGATACAAGATATGCAAAGGTAGTGTCGTTTTTTTTATTCGTGTTACATGAAAGCTAATATAGGCAGTCAACAAAAAGTTCGTTTTATATAAGGTTCATCAATTGTTATTAAGCTTACTGACACCGACTTTTATGCCTACCACGGCGATAATTGCAATACTTTTTTCAGCTAAAAGGCAATGAAACAAAACGTATGGCAGGAAATACACTCTTATTCATATTCATTTGATGGACGAAAACTTCCGACCATCAGAAAGAGGATTAGAAACGCTCATAATCACTTCAAAACCATCCTAGAATCAGCCGCATTCAATTCGTAAATAAAATACTCTGCTAAAACAATGGGAAACAAGAAAATAGCAATGCAACAAAACTTGCCAGCCTTAACGATCCGATATCATCCAGTAACGACAAGGTATCATCCCTATAAGTTAGACCACGTGCCACTTTTCTCCGAATCCACTCTAAAGGCTGATGTCTAAGGGCACCATATTGCAGCACAGTACAACTGGGGCTCAATATAAAGCCAAATGGGTAGCACAAATGGATAAAGTCGTACATCGGGCTAACACAGCGGTCGTCTAATCGTTTCAAGTGGCAGTCTCGCGACGCCGTGGTAAAAGCATGAAAAACGCTCGATGAAGAAACGATCCCCCAACTTTCTCTCAGCGTCGTCAGAAATCCACCACCCATTGGGCGCCATTTCTGCTCCCGTGCTCACTCAGCTTTACATGATAAATTCCCAAAAATAACTTAAGTTTGCTTCTTGGTAGCCGTCGCAATGGGGACCAGTCGTTTGCTGTTGGCCGGAAGGTAACGGTTCGGTACAGCGAGCGAGCGAGAGAGGGAGTGAGGAGAGAGAGAGAGAGAGAGAGAGAGAGAGAGAGAGAGAGAGAGAGAAAGGGAGGGAGAGAGATAGAGAGAGAGAGAGAGAGAGAGAGAGAGAGAGAGAGAGAGAGAGAGAGAGAGAGAGAGAGAGAGAGAGAGAGAGACCTGTACCCGACCCATCCGATGGTCCCACATTTCCAGCAGGCATGGAGCGCCTTTATGAAAAGAGTCATCCTATTGCGTCGAGGGCACTAAAGCAAGATGAGCCATTACTTACTGGAGACGGCAAAAGGGTGCCCCCCCACACCGGTCAACACAGAGACCGACCGCGGCAGGAGGGAATCGATACACCCCGGCGGCGGGGCAGGACGCTGATTCGGTACTGAGCTGAGCTGAGCTGAGCTGAGCTGAGTTGGAGCTGAGCTGAGATGAGCTCCTGATCCAGCAGAGAGGGATCAATGGTCCAGCATATACTGGTGCTTATCCTGTACTGATCCGCGGGCGATTTATAAGGATGATTCAGCAAAGTTCGAGAGGTGATTTGGAGCTGCTGTACACGGGAGCTGCTCCCAGGAAATCCTGTGACGACCAGCCGTTGATCTAATGTTGATCGTACGCTAATCCAGCAACGGGCTGTGACTACATCATGGTACCGTATCTCATTGACGGACCCGGGACACATCGGATGGGGAGAGCTGGTGTCTAGAAACCATCGAGTGAGATCGTGCACTTCCCGCTCCGCCCTGTTCGCCACATCTCCTGCCAATGGATTCATTCCTCAGCCGTCTCCCCAACGTAAGCCGTCCCCACACCCCTCCACTCACCTGAAGAACATGGGGTGGTGCGGATGACCCGGTGGCTGTGGCACCGGCTGAAACCCTGATGACGTCATCGTGTCCACGGTGGACGTCATCGGTGCCGACATCTGAAAAACGAGCGGCAGTTAGGACGGCGGTCCGGCAGCGGCGTCATCGGATGACGGAGTGCCGCCATCCGGCGGTAAAACATGGCGTCATCATGTGATACAGCCAGGGTATGTAATTATGGTCATCACAATAAAATACAAATAATGACACATCCGTTGAATGAAGACAACGATATGTCGTCGACGACAATAACACGTCATCTTAAGACATAGCGGACAGCGAAATGTAGGAACATTGTCATCGGACGGGACTGCGGCGCCGCGGGAACACACCAGGAACACACCAAGAGCACAGCAGGAACACAGCAGGAGCACAGCAGGACAGACTACGTCGGGAATTTTCACGGCATGTGTCACCTCACATCCTGGAGTGCTGAGACAGGATGTAAACATACCACTGCAGTGAGCACTTCAATAAATATTGCGTCAGAGTGAAAAACGACACCGGAAATTAGAACACCCTCCAGCGGCGGTCGAAGGGCTGAGTGAGCACCGAATAAAAGCAGAAACAAGCCGCCCTGCAAAGGCGGAAACACAACAGTGCTGGCAATGACTATGCATTACTGTGGCTGATGTACATATTTCTGGTGATTCATAAAATAAATTGCGAGATTAACATTAACGAAACTAGCCTAATGACCGATGAAAATCACAAAAATGACAGCAATTAAAACATAATAAAAGTGGCTCATGCCGTATATCAATGCATAAAGCTAGCACCCTATACCAAAATACACCCAGACAAGCGTCAAGTACGCACACACTTGACTGAGTTTCCATCTTCCCGTTAGTGCCGGACAATGCTCTCCGGCCATCTCCGATCGGTATTTGGTTCAGCGATTCACCGATTCACCGGTTCAATGGTCGGAACTAGCGGAGCGGTATGGAAAAAACCAGCCGTACACAATGGGCTCACAGCGTGTAAGATAGCTCGCTCGAAACCGATCCGACCGTTACAAACGCACCACTTCCTCAAAACTCCCGTCAGGAGGCAACCACATGCCACCATACCCATAACGCCACCGCCAAGCTACCACAGAAAGCGACAGGCCTGTCAGCATTGGTATCACTGTATCAACTCGCACCACTGTATTCATCGTCCCACCCGAGCATCACTCGGCGTCAACATAGGCACCCTGACTGTGTCGCTCAATCCGCGCAAAGCGGCGCAACTTTGGCCATTCGCCGGTGTCACCACGACACGAGTTGGACCGGTCCACTTTGAGGTGGTACTGGCTGTCCGACGGTGATGACGGCTCGGCTGAGCTGCCGAGTGAGGGGCTGGGACAGCTGCCGAGTGAGGGGCTGGGACAGCGCTGTACTCCGGACAGAGCTGTGGCAGCTTTGAAGTGGGATAGCGGAGCGATCGGGGGAAACAGACGCACCAAACGTGTAGATGACGGTAGGTATTTGAGGAATAAGATATTCAAATCAACGACGGAGCTCGCATGGAACAATTGCGTCTGCTTTTTGGGAAAGGGACAGTCCAAAAATTGGAAACAAACCACTGAGCATCTATCGAAGATGTATCTGTGTTCAGATACATTAAGATGTGCAGTGTTCGAAGCTGCACCGGTCTGGCGGCGTTCCGTAAAAAGGTTAAGAAACGGCATGTTTAATCCGGCTGCGCTAGGTCAATGTTGTCAGTTAGTTTATCATGTGTGGTGTGTTTTAACCTCTATAGAATCTGTCCTGTATGTATAGGTATGAGTTTTGAACTACTGAATGTATGACGTGGTTTACTGAAAACCCAATTTCTTGGATGTAACCGAAATATATGAGTATGAGTATGAGTATGAGTATCTAGATACCAATGGTATAAACCGGTCCAATATTAGTGGTCCAGACATACCCGGCTAGTACCCAGCACCGAAGCACTGTAAGTTTATAGTGGGGCTGTCCGACTGGATAAGTCCTGTTTTATTGGACGACAGAAGTCACCCTTCAAGGCAAACTGCTTGTTATCCGCCTCATACTGGTCTAGACGATTGGGAGCAATTGGAAATGATTAGATAGGCTGAGACACTGGAGCGACAACCCTTGTAGAACAATGGCTTTTGATAGCCTTTAAATACCATATTGGTACTTAGTGTATGGGAAGAACGAGGACTAACAAAAAGGTAGCATACAGCCATAGACAATAAGAAAGGAAAGACCTTTTAGGTGTGGTTTAAAGACGAATATTTCATAAAGCCAAAGGCTTAATGAATGTGTAGCTAAAAATATGCAAGAGCTTTTAAAAACACTTCATTTAAAAAGAACCATATCAGGTTATTCAATTGCATTGCTGGAGATTCCAAGGGCGATTAGGAATGCATAAGCTTGGCTTGACATGCAGGTCGCATTTGATAGGACGTGCGTAGCATCGCAATGGCATATAAATGTCGCTCGGCGGAATGACTGGCATTAAATACGGTTGCGTAGACGCCAACTCAGTGAATAATTACATCAATATCGCCGTAAATTGCAAAGCCATCTGCAATTCTGTTGATAGTCCGATAGAACTGTGAGTAACTGGCCACTAGATACAGATATTTAAGCTGTGACCTTCGTAGAAATAAGGCGATCATATGAAAACACCGAGCCTTCCCAATCACATGAGCATGATCATATAGCGAAACAGGATGGGCTTCCTCCCCTTCGATCACGTGAGCGCTATGATGATCATAGCCCTCCCCCCTCCACCTCACTGGCACCCCTTCACCCAGATCACGTGAGCCCTATGACATCATTATCCACAAGGTCGGTAGCAGGATAACACTGAATATGATCAGTGCCGTGGTGGCGCCGAGACGGCTGAGGGGCATTACTGTGCCACATCATTTGGATTTGTCTTATATGGCCCACACTGAGAAAGCTTATTGGGATAAGGGTCATGCACATTTCGCGCAGGAGGAAAGCTCAGCACATATCTTCAGGTAAAAGCACAAAGCACACACTGGTAATGAGACGCATTTACGGTTCCAGCCAGCTGGGAATGCATTGCATATTGCATATACTCAGGATCCATACTGCATATAGCTGGTTCAGATTTAAACACAAACTTAAATCAAAGTTCGTCGAAACTCGAATCCCAGTGCAGGTTGTAAGCCGGTATAATATCGTTGGCTGTCAGAATGGGCCGTTACACGAAACTCTGGCCAAATGAGTGTTTTACGGTGACATTTCATTATTTATTCACCAGGCTGCATATGATTGGCTGAGTTATAGCGAACGAGGCCATCAACAACCGGTAGGTATACAGAGTGAATCGAGTATCATCTGGTTTATGTCTGCAGTTGCGGACAAATACATATACAAAATAATCAGGAAACAGAACGGCTCATTGGTCCAATGACACCACAGAATTTATTCACTTCCTTATTTGCATGGGCTACGAGTATTTGTATCGCAGAGGATTTACAATGCTCGGAATGTTTTTGTAGCAATCATTTGCATTCCATTGGGGCGGGTACTATGCATCAGCATCATTTGTGTCCAGCGGGACAAAATGTGGACGCAATATCGCCGCTATTTTCCCTTCCCCGTGTGCAGGCAAACATTGGCCATGGTAACTGTTTCTGGCGCCCACAAACTGCGCATTAACAAACAACGAACAGCGGGCCAGCGGCCATAGTTGTCTCAGAAAGGCAATATGGAAATGTTTCAGCATAAGTCAAGATGATACATTACGACACTCAAATGTAAACATACATTGAAACGGACGATCGCCTTGTCTGATACATGTACTGTAATAATCTGGGATGATATACTTCCAACATTCAAGCATAAACAAGGACTTAACAAGCTGATCCTCTTGTCAGCTTTTTGCGCAAGTTTTAACGAGTGCAATAAAAGGGCATCCCACAAGATACAAGCGATGGATAACATTAACAGCTTCTTCATATCGTCTTTTTGTTGGACATCACGCCGTAACTATCTCGCCGTAAACTACAAGCCTCTTCCCTGTCCGAATTTTCACAGTTAGTTCGGAAGCCACCGAGGTGGGTTAACTCCGATCACGTTTGGTCTCTAGAGGTCGGACAATCCTGGGATGATCACACATCACACAGAATCACATCCGTGGCCCATTGTCCGCGCACTCTGCGCGAAACGGACGCCACTCATCATGGGAGTGTGTCAGGATCAGACGGAATTCCGGAGAAGACGGAGTCCTCACTGGCTTGGAGGACAGTCCTGTGGCATTGGGGAGGACAGGATAACTTTTCTCCGAATCACCGAGCTACGATTTCTGAGGGGGGAGCTACCTCATCAGCAAGAGAACTTGGAAGGGTTCACCAGAGCTGATTCTCACCAGAGTTTCATCGTCACGTGATCAAGTAAAACTGGGTCAACGGGAGGACAGGACCGAAGAGCTCACAGTTTGGTCCGGTCCTGACAGTCGTGACCAGCTGCCAGCTGGGGTGACCCATTGACCAACACTGCAAACTGACCAATCAGCTTCTTAACGTGACCCACTCTTGACCCAACAGCTACTTACAGTGACCTACATCTGACCTACCAGCTACCTACTGTGACCTAGACCTGACCTACCAGCTGCCATTGTCCGCTATCGTCAGAAGCATCACCAATATACCGACTCAGCCGGAAGATGATCCGCCAATTGTCTGGGGAGCTGAGCCAGCTACGGCCTTGCCTTGATCAGTTCGTTGTCTCAGCATGCATGTGTGCTTGGGTGTCTGATCTGCAATTGTCAGTTGATTGCTCTGCTCCATGAAATGTAACAACGCGAGTCCTTCACAGATGCACCGTCGGTGGTCAATAGCCAATAGATGATTTTGATCAGAATCAGAAGCAAATAATAGAAAATAGAATCATAAGCAGGAGCTCAATACCCACACAATCATTGCCAAAGTAGACAATCAGTCAGTCCCTCAACCAACTTCCAACCTGACCTATTCCGGCCCAGCTAACACTAGCGCGAGATAGATTTGAACAGTCGTCGTCGCCGACTACCGGGTCGCCAGCGAGAACGCTTCTCATCCACGATAATCAACGTA